CTTAAGTTAAAAAAGGGAGTCACCAAGGCTTGGAGCTCCTTATGCTTGGTGCTGATTTCCCCCAGTGTGATCCCAGAGGATGCCAACACTATTGTAAATGACAGATTAAAGCAGCCTGAGAATGAGATGGACAGAAGAGCTGCCCAGCCCGAGTTCCCCCTTCCCTACACCCCCATTTTTTGGAAGCCATGCAAAAATGAAGTATGAGAGAAATCAGACCTAATGACTACAAGGGAGTTACTCCTGGTGTACAGTGAGGTAAGTGTTTGGAAAATCAGGTCCATAAAGTGCCTTTATTCCTTGTTACTACATGATCTAGAAGCAGATGAAATAGTCAAAAGATGACTAACTTGGTAAAAGAAAATGGATACAACCTTATTATTTATAAAGTGAACTCCTCATTAAAAAGGGGCAGCTTTTTCAAACAGCATTTAGATTCTTACTAAAGAAAACAGGCAAGAAGGAAACTTCAGACTGTTACACGTTTACGCTAGAAAGATTTCGCTGAGCTACTCTGTGCAATGTCTTAGGACTGCCAGGTGCTCGAAAGCCAGGTACATGGAAATTCTACTAAAAAGCTGAGCAGAAACATGTATAACGAAGTAGGATCAAGTCTAGGCAAGCAATTGCAGCAAGTGTTAAACAACCTTTTTGGCAGGTTTTATTATTCAGCGTGTTTTGTGCTACCTTTCATAAATGATCTATCGTTATTTGAACATAGGGTTGGGCTGGGCTTGAAGACCGAACAAGAAGAGATCCTACTTGAAATCCCATATAAATTGTAAGGAGAATGAAGCATGCCTTGTCACATGATAGCAACACCAAAAATTACAAGGAAAAAAATCACACAAATGTGCTGTTCTTTCCTATAGCATGTTTAGTTTCTCAGATGAATAAGAAAGGAAACTATTTTACATCTATATTCTCAGCTACTGTCAAAGGATTTCATTGAAATTAGAATGATTGATTTACAGTGCTGCCTTGGCTGACTTCATGATAGCACACGTAAGAGACTCAACACAGTTTCTCTGTTGGTCAATGGACATTTTTAGCCATTTTTATGGGAACGGCACCAAGTCTGATCTAGCATTATATCCATGTCTAAGATCATTCAAACCTGCTAATCAACTGCTAGGGAAAACTGAGAAGACTTCACAAACCCCCCTAAACAGGAGAGGCATTCAGGGCATGGAAGTACTTTGTCAGGTACACTATCACTGTCACAGAGATAAAAGCGCAAAGCAGTCATTTTCCATTAGAAGATGTTCAAATAAAACTAATGCCAATGGGAGCAGGTATAGCCTAGCAGAAGAAGCTGAGTGGACACGTGAAGTCTCAGGATGCATATGAACATCCAGCATTCTGTATTCATCTAACTGAACACAGATTTTCCAGACAGGATACTTACATAGAAGCATAGAAGCATAGAATAGTTAGAGTTGGAAAGGACCTTAAGATCATCAAGTTCCAACCCCCCTGCCATGGGCAGGGACACCTTGCTCTAAACCATATCACCCAAGGCCTCGTCCAACCTGGCCTTAAACACTGCCAGGGATGAAGCATTCACAACCTCCCTGGGCAACCTATTCCAGTGCCTCACCACCCTAACAGGAAAGAATTTCCTTATATCCAATCTAAACATCCCCTGTTTAAGTTTTAACCCATTACCCCTTGTCCTATCACTACAGTCCCTAATGAAGAGTCCATCCCCAGCATCCCTATAGGCCCCCTTCAGACATCAGTCAAGGGTCTTTCTGAAGTCAATACAGAGCAATAGGTATTTCTAGGAAGTATCTATTCATTACCTCCTAGGGCTGAAAACTCCATCTGACCAGATGAACTAAGTCTTCAAAACACCTGTTTCCCTCTGTTGATGTTGAAGGGATCCAAGGAATCCACCTCGGGCATCAAGGTATACAAGACAAACGCCTGAAGCCAAGGACTGAGGGATCCCATCCCACAGTCTGCAGAACTACTTTGCAATTCAGACAAAAGCTATAGGAGCATATTGAGCCGCTTCACATCCTTTGAGGTGGGAAACATCTAGATTTTACCAGTCCTGAGGTTCTACTGGACCATTGTTACTGGTCTTGATCCAGACAGATAATGGGTATGATGGATTTGTTTTAAGATTGCTAATATTTGTAACTATATTTGAAGCATATTGCAGTATTTATGACTTTGACTTGGTGAACACAGAGACAGTCTCATAGTTTCAAACGTAATTAAAAAAATTCCTGCTACCTGGTGGTTTTTAAATGAAAATTATTAAGAAAGAGATAATTTTAGGTTTTTACCCAATGGGTACATTTCTAATGTTTACTTACTTTTGAAAATTTCCCTACGGCTGAAGAGGATTGAAAGAGGGGATGCAGGGTGGGAAAAGAGATTCCTGTTCTCATTTACTTTCCTTTCAGGGAAAATTTCAGTACTTTAGATTTCTTCCTTCCCACGTAAAAGAAGAGAAAACAAAATATTGGGGACAGGTGCCTCTAACGTGTTCTTGTCAGACGTGCTGGGAAGAGGAGAGCTCTATTTCTGAAATACTACTGTTAGCTACATTACGTGGAGGTCTTGTTAGTGGTAAGCAGCAAATTGGTGTTTAGCGATGCAGGTGACAGCACTTATTAATTTGGGGGAAAAGGAAAGAAATCTCCAAATTCTCAGGGAGACAAGCATAGTCTTGTATGTCAATATGAGGAATTTATGCAAGCATCCTCTCATTCTAATGAGGTAGAAAAAGCACTACTGCAGAGACAGTAGTAGAATAACAGCTTACGGCCTGATTTGGAAAACATGTGCTTAAGCCATCTTTATGCAGGACAGCACTTAATCCTCTGCTTAACTTTGATTTACATGGGTGCGTATCTCAGGTGGTATCTCAGGTAGGAATGACTATAGAGTGGGATGAGCAGTGCCTCAGTTAATAACAAACTCAGCTCCGCATTTATTTAGTAATAATAACAACAATAATAGTAATGACAATAAGTTGTGGTTACGTAACTACTTTCAATTCAATAGATCAGGTATTAAGCTGTACAAACACTAATGGCTCCCTGCATTCCCAAGTTGGAAGGAGGTTTAGTCATTCCTCTATGGTGAGGTTTAGTCATTCCTCTAGGAGAACACCTAAAGGTAGCTGGTGTGAGCCACTGTGGGGTCTCAGACGAAGAGAGCAGTGAGCTGGTCAGCTGGTCAGCAGTCCAGCTGGTCAGTTGGACTCCAGCAGCTGATTCCTGCTACACTCACTAAACAGTCCAAACAAAATGCAGAAAGTGAAATCTCCTATACTCAAAGTTAGGCTGGGGCAGAATTCAGCAATACGGGGGTGTCCTGAGCCCACCAGGGCATCACACAGTCACAAGAACATCCTTTCCATTGTCATCACCTAATAACAGACAATGGGAAAACAATTTAATTTACAGACTTCATTTGAAACAAAAGCATTGCAATTTGCATCCCCAGTGCAAACTTTTTCTTTCAAAACAAAGTGATTTGGAAAGAATAGAAGCATGAGATATGTCTGGTTTCTTGTCTGGGTTACACTCCAAAGTTTGATGATCACACCCAGATGACTAAAATAATGAAGGTGATAGATTACTGTATTGATGCATAATCACTGTCTAGCCTGCAAAACTTATGAGCTGTGTGATTTTGAAAACAATTACTTGTAATTAAAGCAATGCTGCTCCCCTCCTGAAAGAAATATTTTGTGGATAACACCAATTAATTACATTTTTCAATGAGAATAGCACTTAAATGCCTGTGTTGCTATTTATTTCTGACCACATTCAGAATTTCGAAGAGATATGAATTATGTATTGTTTAGCAGTATTATTTTGGGGTTGGGGTTGTAAAAAATACTTCCCCCTTTTTTGATAGCATCTCTTGAATGAATTAAAAGATAACCATTTCCACAGGGTAGGGATATGAACTGACTTTCATAATGATGAAAGGGAGGTTTTCAGCCAAACAAACATTGTCTGATGAAGTCAGCATATCTATCCAGCTTAACTATCTGCTCATTTGTCTCTCTTTGATTTTCCACACCTTTCAAAGATAGATTTGGTGAACTAAAAGGCAACATAATGCCCTGGGAAGCAGAAATCTACCATTGTGCTAATTAAATGCTAACTACATTTGCTTTTAAAAAGTCAGAACATGTATTTTTTTCCAACTAAAACACGGTGTAGGCTTTCCTTCCAATGAAGTTGCAGTACAGGGTTATAACCTATCTCAGTATTAGAATGTTGCTGTGAAAACTGTTCTTGCAGTAGTCTAGCTCTACATGTTTCAGCTATTCATCTAAACATGAATTTAAAACTGAGTTTAACATCTGAATCCTGGCTTAGTATTTGAAACCTCACATAGATTTGAAAGAGCTGTATGAAAAATAAGAGGATAGGAACCATCCGTGGTTTGTTTTTTCTAAAACTGCAGCTTTACCTCACTGATTCTACAAAACCGAACTCTACTGTCCATCTTTTAAGTGAAACAAAGCACAAAGCCTGGGCTTTATGTATTTGCATATGCAATTCCCATTAAATCTTTTCCACCCCTTCTCCCCTTCCCTAGCTACCACTGAAGCCTCTAAAAAAAACTGTGTTTGCTAACAACATCTGTCTGACACCTTTCCTCTGGCAGCTGTGGTTCCCTGAAGAGATAGATAGGTCTCACTCCCTTTTCTGCCTCGAAACAGTGAGTTCTCACTTCCTAAAAATGGCCAAGCTTCTCCTGATAAATCTCTTTCCAGGTTTGTATCACTGGCAGCCACATGAAGTGGTGTTTTCTCCCCAGAACCTATCTTCCATGCGAATTGCCATCCTCATCTTGGTAAATGCTCTGCAGAACACAGTCACAGTGGCTGCCAAGAAAGGAGGACTGGACTCCTCCTGCCTTCCCAGCTCACTCCTGCTACCCTGAAATTCTGGCTCCATCAACACATGGAAAAGAGAAGCGTCCTCTGAAAATACCTGTACACACAATAGGCATTTGAGCAGCTGTATCCAGAGAAAACATGTTTAATACATCATATATGTCACACATGCCCCGGGAACAAAAAGCAAGACAACATTTCCTTTAAAATCATTCTGCACTCTCAGTAGAAAGTGTGTCCATGTAACCACACACTCACTTGTGAGTGGTAAAGACTGAGATCATGGCCTCGATTTGTTTGTGTTTTCCTGATCTGTCACAGTGAAGGCTCTGCAGCAGCTCAGCCATCCAAGGAACAGTATGCTTCAAGCTCAGACTTTTCCGTGACCCACAGAAACATTCTCCATGTCTGTTTTGGCAGCTGGGCATAACTCAATCTTCTATGGTATCCACGCTTAGACAATTCTACGAGTAAGCAAAACAGCTACTGTTTTCATCCTACCATGTTTTCCATAGTATCTGGATGTTGAAATAACACTGCCAAAAAAATTGACATCTCATGCTTTGACAATGGTTGCTCCTGATCGTACACAGCAATACATGATCTCAGGCACAGCAAGGGGCCCAAGCCTCGGCTTTCTGACATGTCAATCACTCCTCAGCACCTATCAGGCACACACACATGCTGCCAATAGCCAGCAAGTTCAAGCACCTCCGCTTGAAAATAGCTGCAATGACGCTGGAAAAGGAGGCATGTTTTTCAGAATATTGCGAACTTGTGAAAACAATTCTGCAACTGAAACTGAGAATAGCCTTTGCAATCGCTACCCCTCTCAGGCAGCCAGCTCACTCTTGGGTGCTATAAATACACAGTAATAAACCATACCAAGAAACCATGGTACAGTAATGCTACAGTAAATTCTGGTAGAATTGCTTTTGAGGTGAACCAGCCTGTGAAAGAGGAAGAGAAATGGGAGACACTCGCATGTTTGGGGGAATGAAGAGGAAATACCTTCACCACCTCATTTCCCTACCTCTGAACACAGCTCTCCTGTGCTTTGTCTGTAGCCTATGGTGCCCTGGCAGCCCATTCATGCATAGAAAGACTTGGCAGAACACATGGTTACCCTTACACTGAATTCTTTTGCCATGTGTGTTTAATATATCTCTGTGATCTGATTCAAGTAGAGCAGATTTGAATACCTCATTATACAGAGACCAATATGTCTTCATACACACAGTAATTATATTGTTCATTCTGATGTTAGAACACTGGATCTCTTGCTGAAAGTCAGAGGACTCACATACATTTTTCAGTCACTTCGACATAAGTGACTACGCTGACATTCAAATTCCAAACAAATTACTAATGAGCTTCCCCACTTTTTTTTCTTCTCCTGAAAAGCAGATTTCTCAGTCTCTGAGAGAAACAGAATGGAAGATCTTAAATGAGAAGACACACTCACATGACTGCAGTCTAAGGAATAGAAGCCCATTTCTCAGCCAGTGTGAACTGCCAGAGCTGTATTGGCTCCTTGGGGAGAGGAGAAAAGGCAGGAGAAGCAAGGGGATGGAAATACTTTAACCACACTTCAGATGTCTGCCTTTGTGCTTAGATTTTGTAACGAAGATTTATCTAATTTTTAGCAAGTGAGCATTTTCCCCTAACGGAAACATGAGCTGCGGACAGTAATTTCTTTCTCCACTACTTTTTTATCCTCTAGGAGCCTTTTTGGGTATATAACACAAATTGTACTTGTATTACAATTTGTATTATAAAATACAAATTGTACTTGCATTTCTAGTTAACATGTATTCTTTGGAGTCCCAAACAATGTAGGGGTGTGCTGCAGGACTGCAGGGTACACTCTGGTTGGACACAGGAATACATAGGACAGACTGTCAAGATAGACAATGCCTTATGTGACCAGAAGTGAGTTTTGGAGTTTAAAGGACATGCCTGTGACCATCACAGTGACTAGTACGGAAGCACACTTTGAGCAATGTCCCTTGGATGTGGCCTGTGGTGCTTTGGGCAGGCTGCAGGTATTCAGAGCACTCAGTGCCCAGACTTCACTCCCTCCATCACCACCTATGGGTATAGTTCTCTGTTTTAGCACTATCCCATAAAGATATGTACTCTTTGGGCCTTAATTGCTTCACAGTCATCTTTTCTTTCCTTACAGTACCTTGATACTTGAGGTCAGGTGTCGAAATGCCACTTGGGTGTGTGGGACCAGAGTGTTAGCAGCTGGCTTTCACTCCAGTTCCCAAACCATTTACTGTGGGGGTCTGTATTCACTCAGAGTTCACTGTGACATTCATACCCTTATTATTATCCTGTGTTAATTAAGTTTCATATTGTTCTTAATTGTGTACATGGCCCCTGAGACAATGTGAAGGATTCATTATTAGAAAGACAGAGTTTTATTTAGTGCAGAATTCAGCACTGTGAGAGACGTCATCTCACCTAACCAGGGAAAAAGCAGCAATAGAAGGGAAATAGATGCTGGCATATTGGTCAAGACCAAAACTAGCAAGCAAGGCTTAAAGAGGCAAGACCAGAAGGGTGAGATTAAGAAAATTTAAGTGCATGTGTTTAAATTTAACCTCAGACTAAAATGCACTAATAATATTATGTGGCATCCACTTGTCTTCTGTCAATGCTGTGTCTCATTGAGAAAGTTTTTAATGCAGAATTTATTCCATTTTCAGTCACAAAGTGATTCAGCTATGGGAAGGAAAGGTGTGTAACAGGATGACTGACTGCACCTATGTGGCTTGAAGCATGTGTATGGAGCCCAGCCACAATAACGTGCCCCCTTTTTCTCATGCCCCTCGGGGGCTGCAGGGGACATGTGTGAGCATAAATCTGGGCCCCTTACTTGCTGATCTGCTCCTCCCCTATACAGAATTTCTTTCCACTTTCTGTGGAAAAATGATGATACCTCTGTGCAACAAAGCACGTGACTTCTTCAAGGGGTGATGAACGTTTGGTAACAAAATTCCTTGCCAATCTCTGTGGTTCACTCTGTGTATTCAGACTAACAGTTAGCTGATCTCCCTGGTGAAAACTGGAAGTCCATGTGCTTTCTCTGCAGTAATACAATATGATGCCCCGATGATACAGTCCTAGATAAAGCATGGTTTTCACAGACTACATCCTCTTGTCTGTCTCCCTGTTTGTGGGAAAATAAATGAACACACAGTGTGTGTGCTTGTTCTCAGAAACTTCCAGATGTGTTTTCTGGTTTCCACGTTTTTTGTCAAACCACTGTGGATGCTCTTTCATTGCTTCCCATACAAAAAGGAGTCCTGGTTGAACACAGTGCATACCAGCTGGCAAAGGGATGGGTTCCCAGCAGGCTTTTGGCATTTGATACGCTAATGTGTGCGAACAGGTTGATATGATTAAGGTTAAAGACTGAGAGACAATTCCAGACTTTTCTAATTATTGTATAGCATTAAATATTTGCTGGCGCTTTTTATTTTGAAGCAGTCGGGAAGCCATTTGGTCATAATGGCAGCCTGATTGTTAATAGATAAGAGACATTATATCCTTCTTCTGCCATTTCTGTTACCATAAACCACACTTGCAAGCAGAAAAGAATACAGCACAAAATAGAACTGTATTTCTGGATGTCCAAGTTTTTAAAGCTTCACTATCAACAAAAGAAAAACTGTATGGGCTTCATTTTCATAGCATTCACTATAGAGTTATTAGGAAGTGATTTGGAGAACTCTACAGATGTGAAACCAAGGGGACCTAGAGAACAGAAATCAGTGTGGCCATCACACTGCAGTTTGCTGATTGGCTTGGGTCTCCTTCCAGCCCCGCAGTATTCCCAGTTCTCTTTGTGCTGTACTCAGGAAAGGCACAAAGCTGTTTTCTTTCCAGACAATTTTACCGATGGGCCTGACTGCTTAATTGGTTTGGCATAGGATACCAGTGCTCCTCCATTTGTCTGCCCTTCCTGTTTGCTTCTGTAATTCAGGCTGTAGAACTGCTCTTCAAAGTTTTGTGTGGTATGGTGTGTCAGGTTGTGTAGCAGATTGTGTGGCTTCATATTTGGTGACAAATTTGGTGTTACTTAAATGGCCTCAGGTGGCTCTTTACTTCCAGTCCCTTGTCTATTTATTTCCAGCTCCATGTCAGCATGATGCTTTGCTTAGCCAAGTGTTTATGTGGCCGTGAATTTCAGCAGCTCAGGGAATTGATCTGTTGGGAAAAGCAGATCTTGTTTCCTTCTCCTTGTTCGTTGTTTGGCCTGCAGGCAGCTGTGTCAGCCCTGCCCAGTGCACCAGCCCTGGCACTGAAGGACCACTTGAGGAGCTGCAGTCTGCATCAGGCATCACCCCATGGAAGCATGAGTATCTGCAGAGCACTCACTGCATCAGCCCCGAGTGTCCACTGCTTTTTCTGCAGCAGATCAAGGTAAGTGATTCTGCCCCTCTATTCTGCTCCAGTGAGACCCACCATGGAGTAATGCATCCAGCTCTGGGCTTCTCAGCACAGGAAAGACATGGACCTGTTGGAGTGGGTCCAGAGGAGGGCAATGAAAATCATCAGAGGGCTTTAACACTCTCCTATGGAGGAGTTGAAGACTGTTCAGCCTGGAGAAGGCTCCTGGGAGACCTTATTGTGGTCTTTCAGCACTTAAAGAGCGCTTATCCAAAAGATGGGGACAGAAATTCTAATAGGACCTGTTACGACAGGACATGGGGTAAGGGTTTTAAACTCGAGGATAGTTTCAGACTAGATATAAGAAAGAATTTTATTTGTTTTTTTTACAATGAGGGTAGTGAAACACTGGCACAGGTTGCCCAGGGAGGTGGTGGCTGCCCCATCCCTGGAAACATTCAGGGCGAGGTTGGACAAGGCTCTGACCAAGCTAGTCTAGTTGAAGATGTTCCTGCTCATTGCAGGGGAGGCTTAGACTAGATGAGCTTTAAAGTTCTCTTCCAACCTAAAGCATTCTATGATTTTATTACATGATTCTACGTTAACTGAAAAATTATATTTGGGGGAAAAAATCAGAAAGCAATTGAAGGTCAGGTTCTCATCTAACCTATCTTAGTAGAGCCCATTGAAATCAGTAGAGCTTTGATGATTTATGTGAGCTGAAGATCTACTCATGGCTTCTTATAACGTAAACTAATTCCTGCAGTAGGTTTATTGAAGGCAGGATTTGCAGATCAGGATTGATTTGCTCCTTTTTTTCTGAATTATTAAAGCATCTTTAGTTTTATTTTAAATTTGATTTTACTATTGATGGTAGCTTTTGTCTCTTGTCCTCATAATTTATCTGTTAAAAGTTCTTCTGAGTGTCAAATACTTAGAGTATCTTTCAGATTCTCAGGTGACTAAGATAGGATTCTTTCTTTAATTAAAAAGAAGAAGATTGAGTTTCACGGCAATCATGTTTTTATATTCCCATATGTATCTGAAGTCACTCAGATTAGGAGAACTGGGCTTCAGTTTTTGAAATTAGACTTTGTTAAATTGGACTCTGAGAATGCATTTCCCTATCTGACTAAAATACCCGTAGTTTTAAATATTACAAGGTAAGCCCTCATGAACTCTGATAGATCCTAATGGCATCTTTTTTTACGACTCAATTCTGACCTTGTTTCTTACACTGTAAATCTGGTATAACTGTTTCAAACTCAGTAGAATTACTGTTGGTTTATACTGCCATAATGAAGGTTAAAGTCTTTCTCTAGACTTCTACTTCCCCAAAGAAAAATGATTTGCCATAGTAACCAGTGTAACCCAAACCAGTATGTCGGATAATAGAAATTAATACAGCAATACTGAAGGGTTCAGAGTTAGGCTAATTTATACCACACAAAATGTGACCATCTTCAGGGTATTTTACTGAACTTGACTAATTATTACAACTAATTGGAATTCAGAATATCCACCTCTGAGACACCATATCAATAGCACTTGTGAATAGTTCAGGGCCTCCTTGGTTGAGTGAAAGGGAGGGTTTTTTAGCCAAGTGTGATGGGTCAGCCTTACAACATTCAATGTGATTTCCTCTTCAGACTAAAGGCGCTCAGAGCACATGGTCAGCATCACTTCTGAAGTCCACCCTGTGCACGCAGACCCTGGGTGCCCACATTGCTTCTGGGCCACTTCTGCTCCTCCCTCCTTGCTCATTTCCCCAGCCCTGTCAGAAAGGTCCTGCTCCTCTCCCTTCTAGCCTCAGGAGTCTGCATGTCATCAGCTGGCAGACACCTCTAGCTTGCCAGGCAAATGTGTGCAAAGCTAACCAGATGGAGGAAGAAGTGAAAACAGAGGTAGTGTGGGTCAGCAGCAGAGTCCAGCTGTGTCAGACACCACAGTTAGACTCTGAAGTCCTCTCTCCTGTTACCCAGCAGCAAAGGCCTTGTGCACATTGCTTCCTTCCAATGAAGGAAGCATTTCAGAGCTCACCATAAGAGTTTCCTGTCAAGATTCAAGTCCTTACAATGACCCTGTTTTTTAATAACATACATATATCCACCTCTGTGGCTTCAAACCTCCACACAGTCACACTTACAAATGATTCTGCCTAATCAGTACCTTTAAAGGGATTCTTACCTTGCCTGAACTGCCCTGGCCCTCCATTCCTTTCCTTCACAGCAAAGCCCAACAATTTTCCTTCTTCAGCATTTCTTCTCCCAGTGCTTTCCTAGGCTAATAGCATAATAGCACAGTGAAGGCTGCCTGATGCAGGTGCAGGTGAGGGGGAGCCAGCAAGGGCAAGGACAAGCTTAAAAAAATTAGACACTAGGATCAAGACTTGCATATAATGAGGGTTTATGACTTTCAAAACAGCAGGCATACAGCACCACAGCATCTCCAGCTGTGGTCAGGCCCTCTACACAGAATGGGTGGCCAAAACACCCATCACAATTTAACTCATTTGGCTCTGATGGGTAAATGAATGTGATTTCACGCTGTGTGGTGCCACCTCAGACACCTCCTGCAAACTTCTCTCATCTATTCCCCCTTGGTCTTGCTGGCATCATACAGAATATGGTCTCAAGCCTGACAGAGAAAGTCTACCATCATGCTCTTAAAAAAAATAGGGGGAAAGGATTTTATTTGTGTGGTTTGTTTTTTTTTAAGAACCATTCTACTTCCACTCCACATTTTTTTTCCTGGTGAAAACTTAAGTGCTTTACATGGTAGCTGAAATTGGCAATGATGTGTCACTAAAATAAGATGGATAGTGAACAGCATGATGGTTCTGTTGACCTAGATTTGTTTAACTGGCAGGGCAAACAGATACCTGCAGAGCCTTGGACAAGCAAGGACTGTGGAAAAACTTGTCATAGTATGTCCTGTTATATGGTGGCAATAGCAGTGAAACAGTGCAGTGAACAGCAACAGCTAAAAGCACAGTGGAAAAAATATGTCATTCAACTGATGTGTAACTGAAAGGTCAAGCATACATAAAAAATGGTGATATAGGTCTTCTAATGGCCTGGACAGGCTCCAAGCTTTGTGCATCCAATACCTACCTACAGGTAGCACAGCACAGAATTCTTCCAAATGGCACATACCACCTTGTGAGCAGTCTTTCTGCTTTTCATCATTCCCACTTCAAATTGCCTAGAAAATGTAATTTAGGTTGTCAGTTTCCAAATAACCTTTACAACCCTTCCCTCAGCACTTCGTGAGGATCATGATAGTCACCTTCCCTACCAGCTCAGATTTTCACAAATGCTGTCTTTCTTCTTTCCATAGCTGATCATCTTTCATTTACAACATGCTCTTCTATTGCCACCATGGGTCCTTAACAGCCCAGAAATAGTCCGTACCTGTCCTGCTACCAGGTAAAATGGATGTCTGCAACTCCTTATGGCAAGCAATATGTGCAACTGTAAATTCTAAATCTTCTTGGAGCCTAGGTTACAGAGCAGCATGCAGTGGGAACCTGCATGCCTCCACATTGACACTTGTAGGATGTCTGCCATGACCAAGAACATCCTACTTTTCACCACTGCTTGCAAAAGGCATGGAAGCAGCCGTGAAATATGCTGGTATCCCACTGCTAGATAGCATCCTAGATGTAGTGTTCTTTACTTTGAAAAGAGGAGAACCAGCCCTCCCCAAGGAGCTCAGAACTAATTCAGCAGGGCTGGATTCCTACTGTCGTGCTGAGCCAAGGCCAAGCAAAATGCAGTGAGACAGCAGGTAGTGGGGCAAGAGCATACAAGTATCACATGAGTTCAACTAAAACATACATGTGCCACATATGAAGGGGGCAAAATGAACTATTTTCATGAATAATGCATAACTCAGCACTAATGAATGCAGAACAGGTGTTACAGACAGGTTGAAAACACTTCTACAGACATGTCACAGACTGCTGTACAACTTCACAGATGCAGTATTCATCTTTCATGTAGAAGAGCTTTGGCCACATCCCTGCTTTTGATTAGGAAGAAGACGGAACTGAACACTGCTTTCTTAAGTGAGCATCCCAAATGGACCAGTAGTTGGTCCTACCCAGGCTGCTGATTTTGCCTGGAGTCCCACACAGAGATAGTGGAGTCTGTGCACATGCTGCGGAGAAGCTGTTCGTACCCAGCTAGAGCTGTGAAAAGCAGCAGGTATCCAAGGCAAGGAAACCATCAGCAGAAACCATCAGCAAGGAAGTGTTCTGTGTTGTTCAGTTTGTTATTTACACTGGACCTGTATTTAAATATACCGAAGACAACCTGGGGTAGGGGTGTCATTTCAGCTTTTAAGAAACTTCATACCTCTCTCCTGCTCAGCTCTGCACAATACTTTTGCTTACATTCCTCTGACTGATCTCATGTGATTTAAAGTGGCTGAAATAGGTAAAGATAGTTGTTATTTTGTCATGTTTACATGCATTGATGTGCTGTAGAAACAGACGGAAAAGAAGTGATTGTGGTCAAGTGAACTACTGTAGGATAAAGAGAGATAAATAATTCAGATTCTCATTATAACAGAAGAGTACAGCTCCCATAGAGAGAAGGAAGCTGTCTTTGTGTGAATTGGTATGCTGTGGCTGTTTAGTAGCCATAGCATGTAATCTAGCATTAGTATTAACATAAATCAGTGGCAGGAATTAACAATATTTCTAAAGTCTTATATGATAACTGGATCCACACTATATTGTTTAGTCCTCCTGGGCATTTTAATAATCACGTAATAGAAATGTTGGAGTAGCTGAGATATTCTTTATATTGCTCTGTGAAAGGTCTTTAACACAATGTCTTTAGCAGACAGTTTTGATAGAATGTGTTGTACAAAAAGAAATATGCCTATTTTGGTAATATGGGTATGTTTCATTAGCTCAGCCCGCAGCGATATGACATTACATTTAAAAAGGAATACAATTAATAACAATGAGAGGGGATTTTTTTTAGCTCTCAGAGTATAGCTGGAGGAGCTGAGCAAGGTGTCAGGGCAATTAAATAGAGGCACTGTATTACCTTTGTCTGAACACTCATAACATCTTCCCTCCTCAATACACTGAATAGGAGATTTCTTTGCAGTAGGATCCCTAATTTATTTTGATGTTTCCTATAACTCAGATAATAATAAGATGGACTTTTTTATTAATCTTTTAAAACATACAAATCTTGGGAATTAGCATGTCTGTGGATCCATATATATCCCATTTTTACATAGAGTGTGGAATGATTGTATTAGAGATACACACAATAGCTTCTCGGCACTGAATTTAATGGAACGACCATATCAGCACTGTGAAAAAGTGAAAAATACTGCCAGTGCATGTACAGCACATGGATTAGATAACTGCAGTCCAGGGGAAAAGTTATACTTTGAGACTATTAAGATAATCAACATGGGTATTATTTTATTCAGCGTTAACCTTTATGTTCTACGTTAAATGACAATGAAACTGGTGGAACACAATCCTTCCCTAGAGTAACGGTATCCGGCATTTCTTTCATCTCTAAAGAGGCTTCTTAATATCCTGCAATCCTAAAAATGCTATTTTTCCCCTACTGCAGGTCAGATTTAATAACAGTGACAGGAGATAAATGGATTGGGCTCAGCTGAGCCTTCAGCAGTCCTGTGGATGGGAGGCAGGAATCTCTGCCCTCCCAGGAAAAGCAGCAGCAAAAGGCAGCAGGGGCACTGCAAGGACAGCCTCAGGGGACCGAGTCCTTATTCCCACTTCAAATGCAGTCCTTCCCGTTGTGCCCACTTCTCTGCCAGAGGCTATTCCGTTTGCCCCAGTCTGGCCTGCACATCTGTGTGGGAAGATTGGGAGTGTGCTTTGGCCCTAGGGATGCGGGCGGCAAGGATTTAACCTCACTGCAACCAACACCCAAACACATGTCGATGCTTCGAGAAAGAAAGGGTGAAAGTGTTCCTTTTGCAGGGCAGCTCGCTCGTACCACTCACACTGTCTCAACAGAGACAGCTCTGTGAGAAAAAGCCTTAGGCAGGTATCAAAGCAGAAGTGACCTTCCCATCTCTCCACACCTTCACTTGCCCTGGGTGCTCCAGTACCATTTTATGGGTGCCTGGCAGCAGTGCACCAAAGGCTGCAGGAAAACACCAACCCAAGGGATTAATGAACAACTCCACAGCCGTTCATGAGTAACATATTACAGCCCAGCAGAGAACAGTTTCCTAACTCACGGAGCTCCGGCTTACTCGTCCTGCAGCAGCACCCGGGTTAATGGCACACGGCGCCAGCCGCCCCAGCCCGTCCCCAGGCAGCAGCTGCCCCTGGCCTGTTTAGCCTCACACGTATGCGGTGGCACACGGCGCCTCGAGCCATTAAATCACCCCAGCGCGGCGGGAAGGGCTCCCCTCCCCTGCTAAGTGTTATTGACAGACCCATCACAGGCAGTGATGCATCAGTGCCCGCCTCAGCCCCAGCAGGCCGGGCTGGGGGGCGACATGCAGTCTCCGTGGCAACGACGGGGCGCGGGGCCTGCCGGGAGGGGTGTGGTGGCTGCCCGGCGGCCATGTTGGTGGGGCCCAGTGGAGAGGTCTCACGCCCTCCCATTGATCCGGCGCTATCGACCACTCCAATTTGCAGGAATTTATGGTATCGATGTGGGGCTGATTAACATTTTGTGCCAGAGCGGTTCAATACGGGCTGGTAACAGCTTTTAATGATTAATTGACTTTTACGATTCCGCCTCAGTGCTGCCAGTGAGCTGTGAGCGGTGGGCATGCTGCTCCCCGAGACGCTCTCCAGTGGCATGGGGCAGTGATTGAGTACTTGGGAAATTAGTGTCCTTGCTGTCTCGTTCTATGAAAGATAAATGCTATGACATTTAATGCAGACCTTAATTTAGATCAGAACACAGCAGATCATTTTGCAGTTTAATCGTAAACAGGTAAATATCAAAACTTGTTTAGCATTTCACTAGTTAGGTGGACAGATAGCAGGGATAAAGCTCAGCAGGCAGCGGGGGCAATGGCAGAGGTAAGGTAAGGTGATGAGACTTGGAGCCAGCAATAGTTTAGTGATAATGGTAATATACGTATAGACAGTATATCACACGCAGAATCCAGGTATGGTCTTCCCACATGACCATCCACCCTCTCTTTCCTCCTGTAATCTCATTCACTGCTCTCATTCACCATATGAGCTGTAAAATGAGGGCTTCCAACCCATGACATAATTTATGGGGAAGAAAACCCCATCACCTACAGTTAATCTGTTACCTAAAATAAACATAAACATTATGGAAAAACTGCAAAGCAAAACAAAATTTTATTATGCTCCATAACAACTGAAAAAAGATTGTCTGGGAAGCTGTGTGCTGTCAACTCCTACCTTCCTGTGTTCATATTTATAGCCTATTCCTTTGCATTCATTTTAATTAAAAAGATTGTTTCTTTTTAAATAACTGTCTAAACAAAATGTCAGATTATGCATGTTTATACATACAAAAGCTAAGATGACATATTTTGATCCTCTTGGAAATTTTATTCTCTGCCTTCTCACCACTCCATCATCCCCTGTACTTGAGCCGATTTACAGAGGAAATGAGGCCGCAAAGGGCCAGCTTCTTAAATCATTTTGACCCACTTTGGAGGAGCTGGAGAGCTGCCGAATCTCCCCATTTGAGGATTCCCTTGGCACAAGGGAGTTCCTAGCTCGTACAAAGCTGACGGAGCCAATTCCTATGCCATCTGTTCCCGCAGAATGCGTTTAGGGGAGCCTACTGGGGCAGAGTAGGGGTGAAGTTGAGGTATTTCTGCATTTTCCATCTTCTTTCCCAAGACCTTCATGGGGCCAATGGCTAACCTGTTAAAGTGCAGCATGAATCCCAAAAGCATAAGGTTGCAATGGGCTCCCTTTCAGCTCTTCTTCTGAGCTGAACCCAGTACTTCTTTTACAAATTGGCTGGGATCCTCTAAGAAGCTGTGCAGATGAGGCGAGCTCCAAAGGCTCATTTCATTCAACCTGAATCACCTTATAGAAATCATTGTCAAGGAGCAATCAGACAAAGCATTAAATTGCAAAATTGATTGGGCAGTAACCTCTGGGGAAAGGGGACAAAATTCTGGACACAGCTGAGTACATCCACATCTTAACCCTGATCAGCAGAAATCAGAAGAGCTCACCTAATAGCAACCCTTGGTGTTGTCATGCCAGCTATGTGATACCTGGAAGGGGGTGCTTAGCTCTTGAATCAAAATTCACAGTGCTGAGCAAGTCACCTAAAGCTCTGTCTACACTAGATGTTTGCCTATGGATTTGTTGTGATGAGTTTTGTGACCTCCCTGTTGCTATGATCAAAATGGCATGTGCTCTGGCAGGTAACTCTGCTCGAAAGCACCAACTACTAGCTGAGAGGTAGTAAAGGATGGCTTTTTAAACCACTTCTCAACTGGTGCCGCTTGTTACACTGCAACTCAATAGTAGGAGCACATCCCCTTCTTAGCACGCAGTCAGGCAGGCTGGTGGGTAATTGGGGTGCATCCTTTCCTGGAGTTAAGCAGGGACAGAGTCCACACAGTCAACCTACCTCAGCAATGAAGTGGCAACTACGTGTTGAGGGTGAGCCTTGATGTGCTGTTTCTTTGTATTTTTACAACCACCATTCAAGTGTTTGCTTCTATCTTTCAGCCTGAGCTCCTCTGCAACTGGCACATTTGGAATGTGGCAGCGTACCACACTGTGTATGGGACAGACCAAGAGGTTCCTGGCAACATCCCAGAATCCAGCTTTGTTGCCTTAAGGGGGGGAAAGCAGAGCAGGTCCCCAGGGCTACTCCAGCTCTAAGAGGGGAGGGGAAGCAGTGTAACATCTCTGAGATCCATTCTTGGCTGTGGTCACTGGGTAACTAGGGGAATGACTGCTGATCCTAGGAGAAGCAGCAGGTTCTTTGACGCATACTCTGACCTCTCATTCCATGTCATCAGGCAGCCTGGCTTTCAAGGATGCGGGACACTAGTTAAATGGCTATTATAACAGCCCATTATAACCCAGGCAAAGGTCAGCCTAAGCCACTGCTCTCACTGTGCTTGTGCTAACGGCTGGCTCTCGATAGAGCTTGAATGTGTCCCCACAGACTGCCTCTCCACTGACCCAGAAGTCTGAAGATTCAGGCTAGACAGTGCGCGTTCTAGCTTTAGAGATAAACAGTGAGTAAATTCCTGGGTTAGGTAACAAGTTTGGGTTAAGCCACAGGCAAGACATGTAGATAGATATAAAGCTTAAATTTCCTGTACATCAGCTGAGGAAAGCTAGCACTGGGAAAGAAACTATGCAAAGGTGGGCACAGTGAGACATATGCCTGCTCCTGTCATTTGTGGTGATCCAGCCCTGCTCCCACAGCTGTGTGTACCCGTTTAGCTACAGCACTGGACCTAAGCTCACAAACTTGTATCTCCTGGAACAGAATGTCATATAACCATTTGGCCTGGATCACAGATGGAGCAGGTGTGTCTGTCTGTACTCACCGATGTAAAACATACCTTAAGAATGTGCATGGCTAAATGTGTCACTGAATCTCCCAGTGAGTGGACTTTTGCTCCCTGTCAGAGCTGCAGTTGTATCTTTGAATGTCAGTGCTGGGCTGTCCTGTGTTCAGGTACCTTAGTCACAAGTGGGGACAGGTGGCTTATCTCTGCTGTTCCTTTGGTATGGGACTTGTAGTGATACTTTTAGCTAGCAGCCTGTTGAATATGTGCTGCAGAAGTGGGACTCCAGCTATATATCAGCAGTCTCATCAGAATAATTTAGGTGAGAGTGAGAATAGCGATGAGAGTACTTGTATTATTTCTGTATTGACTGGGTCACTCTGCAGCCCAGAAGGCAGAGCTCATAAAGCCAGAGCGAGTAGAAAGGAGTGCTATGAGAGGTGCAGGTAATGAGTATTCCCACTGTGAATGGAAAGCTCTGAACCCTTGTTTTTGGTCCATGCCTGTCTACACACACTGCAAAAACAGTGCCCCGTCTTTGCTCTGTTTAGCTCTACAGCTCTTGACTTCCCAGCTGCACTGCGGCTCACTTCAGTGTGTAGTGTGATTCGTTTCTGTCCCCTGCTACCTCTTATTTCTCAATGACAGTCTTCTTAAGAGACCTTCAAACCCACAGCTTAACTTAAAGAGAACTGAAAACTTTTATTTCTCAAAGTGTTGCAGCTGCCAGACAATTGCACAAAAGGTAGATAGCAATTGTCACATTTGAAAGGAAGTGGTTGCAAATGCTGGAGACCATGAGACTATGCTGACATGGTCTTTTGCAGGCAGAGGTGAGCCTCTGTTTTCTGTTTTGCAAGCCAGCTGGGGAGCTGCTTTACTGTAAGTTGATCCTAAGCTAATGCAACTACACAGCTTCATGTTCAAAAGCTTCTAGTTAGCACCATGTGCCCCAGAAAATAAGCTGAGGAGGGGGGAACTCAGTTGCCATTAAAAGTCCTACGTTCTGGTCCTGTGCACCTTTAGGGCAAACCTCTTGCTTCTGACCCAAAAGAGTCTGAGGTAGGGAGGGTCCAGCTTGTGAAAGGAAACAGGAATGGCTCAGCTATGCAGCCCTGCAGCAGGGCCAGTTCAAGATGTCAGAGAAGCGAGCTGTTGCTTTTTCTGCCTCCTGTTGCAAAAAGAGAAACCCAAATCAAACCAGACAAAAAAAGCAATAGCACTGCTTTGCTTCACACAGAGCCCAGGAAAATGAGGCAGAAGTCTGCATCTGGGGACAGTAATTGGTGCCTCTGCTTCTTTATTTCCATGATGGGATCAAGAGCCTTGCTCCCCTGAACCCTCCTTTTCTTTCCCAGGTTCTTTCCTAGCTTTCACTGCATCTCAGCAGTTTCTACCGCAGGGGGAAACACACGCCAGCTCCTTCCTTTGCAGGAAGGCTCCTTCTCACTTCATTGAGCTGACTGACTATGGGTAGGAGTGGCTGAACACATGCAGTAGGTCTATACTGGGTATCTAAGGAAGTCCCATTCAGCAACATACATGCCTGGGAGACACCTAATCAAGATTGGCAGGATTTTGTGTGACCCCCAGTATGACCTACATTCTGCCTAAGCTGCATTTTAGGCTTATAAAAGACAGTTTGGGATCATGCCCAGGTTCATCTCATGGTGCCTTGAAGAAATTCCGCTTGCTTACCTGCAAAAATGAGACTTTATGCTTCCTGCTCCCACTCTGGGGGAGCCAAGGAATCAGGAAGCATCTTGTATTGTCTAAATAGCACAGCAGAACAAGAGTCAGCTAAAGAGAAGGCAAACTGTACGGGGAAATCTCAGCCCCACTGAAGTCCCTGGCAAAAATTCCACTGACTTCAACAGCTTACTATTCTACAGCTGTGTGTCCTTGTGCCTGACCGCAAACCCCTTTCAGTGGCAATGTTCATAGGTTGTATGACTGCTACAAAGGGCAGAATGCAACCCTCTCCATTTTTTATTATGGCACAGTACACACACTCTGAGTGGCAAGTAGCATCTCTTTACGGTAACACAGAAAGAATATTATATTATTAAGAAAGTGTTTGTCTCACAGTGTAGAATGATCGGCACTGAATCTTTTCCCTCTCTATTCTATCACGTTTCTCTCCATTCTATGACCATGCATATGCTGCATTCACTGAATATTCCCATACTCAGCCTCACTGACTTTTGTTCAGGTGCATGGTTAGGGATACTCAGGGAGGAGTGTGGTAGACTGTATTTATAATTACATCTCTGATATTTATCCATTCAAAAATAGCACAATAAATTTTTGAGCAAACAGAATATTCAGAAGTTTGCCAAGAAAGACCATTGTTTTTTTGCAGCCACATGCCAGCCTTTCCTCAACAAAATCCCCCACATTATTTTTTTCACAGGTTCAGAGGACAGTTACCAAGAGGAATTTCTACCTGTAGGCACTGATTCAGTTTTCTTTTTATGATTCCTCTTCCAGATTTATAAGATAATTTAATTAGGCTTCTTATAGATTTCTTTGTCATTTTTTGAATATATATATATATATATATGTATCTCCTTCTTGATTGTGATCCTCTTTAACTCACTGGATGTCCCAAATTACAAGCTTTGCATGGAATCAGTTGCCTTTGGCTATGTTTGGTATTATGTTACCTTCTGTTCAGTTAACGGTGTGGAGATAGGCCATAAGCACTGGAAAAACCTCAAAGCTCTTTTCTGCTGTTTTGAAATTGAGAAAGCAGAAACATAATTGCTTTTGTTGGATCACAATCCTGAATAGCAAAAGACTTTTTAAACATCTGCCCTTCGTTTGATTGGCTTTACATCTTCTCTCTTTTTTGTCTACTGTTCATTATTCTGCATTTTATTCACTAATGAAAAATTCTATCCATGACAATATTTTCATATGCTGTAAGATGACTGGGATTCAATGCATTTAATCTGATCTAGCCCTACAGAAAACCTTAATAGGATGTGACAATATATGTTAATTCTGTGAGGTTTGTATTTCCTTCTTGCTCCTGCAATATCTGATCTGTCCTGCCTACAATCTCAGCACAATCTCCCACAACCCTGACTTTTAACAGAGCCAGACTCTAACTCCCAGCATGTATTTGCAACACCTATTGAAGCCACACAACACCGCGTGGCTATATGGGAAATATATTTTGCTTTCTTTGTCATTGGGCCCTGCTCCCATTCAGATCTGTGGCAAATCAGCACAGACTTAAATTCTGCCAAGACCAGGCATCAGAATTGTTCCATTTTGCACAGGATTCTCTCTGACAGGAGAACTCACATGTGTCTCTGTGTGCTGATCTCCTGCTCCCTCTTTATCAGTAATTGAATGACTTGATACATCTCTCTTCTTTTTTTTTTTTTTAATACCGGTGTCAAATACTTGTCATGATATTAGCATTCATTCCCAAGGAAATGTAGCAGCCAGAAATAATCCTGATCCCTGAGTGGACTGGAATAATCTATTCATTCTGCAGGGAATAGCTATCCCTATTCAATAGTAATATTGAAATTAAGAAATAACATTCTTTCTTTTAACATGGGAAGACAATACAAATAATTGGGTAATTTCCTAATAAGTTTGTTATTAAAACAGTATCTAGAGGAAACCTGAGCATTCAGCCAACTGAAATGTGTCCTTTTTTTTTCCGCTGGTTCGAGCAAAATGCTTGACATCAATACCACAAGTATTTTCAGTGCTACCTGAGAATAAGGGGGAATGAAGGCAGGAGGCTTTTGAAAAGTCACTTCTGATTTTACTCATTTAAGAGCTAAGTATTTCAAAAAGCAAAGAGGGCCAAATTTTGAAGTGCCGATAGTCCCCAGTTGGATCCAGATTTTCAGAAAGATTCCATTCTCATTTACACTTCTCAATAGAGCATTTTTCCACAAGTGCTCAGCAGCCAGCAATTCTTTCTGGCCAGGAAGCCATTGAGAAAGCTGGCCTCTTTTTTTTCTCTTGGGTTGTTTTGGGGGTTTTTTGAGAGCCTAAAAGGGAATGGAGTGTTATTTTATGAATCAGGTTCTTCAGACAAGTTACGCCTGATGAGCATGACGCTGAGGAAAAAAGTGAAATACAACTTTCCTTGCTGAAACCTCTGGAGGCAGTGGGTGCTAGAAAGAACCAGTGCATTGCTGGGCAGAGATAGCTCCAAGAGAGCTAGCTTGGAGACTGGAAGCAAAGGAGAAACACCCATAATTCCTCCTGAAGCTTTGCAGTTTATGAAGGAACAAGTATTTCCATGAATACCAGAATTATTCCGGAAGCCTAGTTTCCAATGGAGTTAGTGTTTCATGCCTGACTGACATTTTAAATGAATTATACTATGGCTGCGGTGTGAATTCTGCCCTTATCAGACACTGGAGAATCCATAAGGGAGAGAAGCCTTGGCTACGGTGTGGATTCCCTTATATCTAATAAGGTATAAGCTCTGACTGAAGCGTTCCTTCACATACATCCAGTCTCTCTCCCCAGTGGATACTGTCCATGTCAAATGAGAACTGAGCGTGGGCTACAGCCTTTCCAGCAGTAGGAAAACTCTTCAGCTTTGTATTTTCACAAAAACTTAGGAATTTGATTATCTCTGAAACCTCCACCTTTTGTCCAGGTTCAGCTGCAACTGGCCAGTGGGTTCAAAAGTTATTAGACAGCCATGTGTGCAAGCACACACACACTGCAATTGTATGAGCTGTGCTTCCTCATGGAGCTGGGCTAAAAACACCCCTGCTAAAATCTAAGTAACTGCAGCCTGCTGTATCTGTGAGCAAGCTGGGGAGGCTGTAATAAAGGACTGAGTGGAAAGAGAATAAATAATTCTGTACCTCCTATCCCATACAACAATCAGTTAGTTCATGTCTCCCTCCATCCCTAGCCATGGGGTCTGCCCATCAGATGCAACCACTACAGAGCCCCTTTGGCATGGAGCACTCTTAGGGGGGAGGCAGTCAGGGGAGCTGGAAGTGTTCCTGGCCAGTCTGCCAGTGTGAAGGATTGGCAGTGCTTCTCGCAATTTCCTTTCCCATGAGCAACTAGCAGCAATCAAATACAATCTAGCCCTCATTATTTGCCGTTAGTTTCTTTGATTCTGATTTGGAAATACGTTGCTAAGGAAAGCAAAAACCGTGGTTAACTGATTGATAGAAAATAAGAGTCATAGAAAACATCTGGAGAGCCAGATGAGTACAAGCCATTGTTTAGTTTAATACCCTTATAATATTTGCTGCAAACAGCCAAGCTGAAGGGTGGATTCTTCATCATTTTTTTATTATGTGCTTATTCCAAAATATTACTGAACGGGCTTCGATAGCAAAGTTTGATCCATGTCCTTTTGCCCAGACATTACCATGTCTGGGCTTTCCGAGGCTGTATAAGGCCAAATTATCAGAACATAATATCAAAATGTAAGAATGGTCATACTGAATCTTACCAAGGTCCCTCTAGACTCTTGCCTCTGATGGTGACTAATAGCAGATGTTTAGGGAAAATACAAAGCCAAAAAATGCATCCGCTTTTCTCTGATACACCCTCCTAGCTTCGAGAGATTTGCAGCTAGAAAACAAGCTGAGCCAGAGGTATTTTCTTTCTATTTAATATGGCTAGATGGATTTTTTTTCTTCTCGGAATCTCCCCTTCAACCTTTAAAGGTGAAAATAGTGAAGAGCTTCTGTTTCATCTAGAGAAAAATGCTGAAGAGGGAAGTAGTACAGCTGGAAACTTCGTGAATCATCCCTATGAAATGGGGTCCATTGAGCTGCAGGTATATATCTAACCAAAAATTAAAGAAGAGGCTCAGCTTCCGATTTGAACAGTTACTGTTCACTCTTCAGCTAACCATACAGCTGTTGAGCAATAGAAAGCAGGGGAGGGAATGGGGTGGAAGCAGACTACAGCTGGCCAGAGCCTCCCTTCAGGTGGGCAGAAGGAGAGAAGACCAGCACATCACCTGGCTGATCATACAGCCCAAAAGCTGCAGCCCAGGGAGCCAGCACCCTGAGCAGGGTGGTCTCTGGGTACATACAGAGAGTTGACAGAAATGCGGTTAATGGCCAACATTCTTCAAGTCTTTCTAGGTCCATTCCTATGCCAATCACAGTTATTCAACAACTCTGCTCTACAGCTACATCAGTGTGTTGCAGATTTGTTAACGAATCCTCTGTGGGCCCAGAAGGACAGATAAATGTTAGCATATTTCTGATTTCTGCAGATACTGAAAATGAGACAAAGAGTTGAAATCACTTGCCTGAAGCCCACAGAGTGAACTGGGAACAGAACCAGGTGTAGAAACAACACAACCCTAATTTTCTGTTTTTAGTGGCTAGCCAGCACTTCCTTTCACCTAATTTACTGTTAAATCTACAGGCGTAAATCCAGAGATAGATATACCAAGGGGGCTGTTTCCTTACAGAACTTTATTCAATATTTATAATATGTGCTTATGATGGTGATCATCTATGAAATTACATTGTTCTGACTCCATAAGTGATATTTTAACTAACAAGAATTGTTGCATAAAAAAATTATGCACTGGCAGTTCCAAAAATACCATGTTTTTTTCTTAATTCACACATCAGTTCTGAATTTATTACAATACAAATCTGTTTGTAGTGCAAATACATTTTTGCACTTCATTCAATCAAATTCTACTGTGAGTTTATATTATGTCTGAAATCGGCAAGCAGAGATAAGGGAAGGGAAGGGAAGGGAAGGGAAGGGAAGGGAAGGGAAGGGACGGGAAGGGAAGGGAAGGGAAGGGAAGGGAAGGGAAGGGAAGGGAAGGGAAGGGAAGGGAAGGGAAGGGAAGGGAAGGGAAGGGAAGGGAAGGGAAGGGAAGGGAAGGGAAACTTGTATGCATTTTGCCTGCCCAAGTCAAGTGGCTACCTTACTTCTTCAGGTTCGCTTTCAGTTAAGTCCGTTGTTTTCTTACATATTTGCCATTGTTATGAAGTCACTTGTATTCTAAGCAGTTTTTTACAGCTTAACATGGTCAAAATGTTAGTTTGCTAGAACTTAGTGTTGAGCCCACAGCTCAGAAAGTGACTCCTGAGGAACTTCTGTGAGTGGAGGACACTCCTGAGGGCATTCACTATAGTTTTAAATTCTACAAGGGCTGTTCCTGTCCTTTCTCACATTGCACTTATTTCTGCCCAAAATTGATGTGATCCTAAAGCCATCCCCACTGAATCACCCTCCAAAGCATAACGGACATGGTGTAGTCCCTGCTATTCCTACTATTCCATTAGACCTTGTTCGCTACATGTGAAAGGGTTTGCCAGCATAGCTACACTAATATAATACCAACAGAGCCACCTCAGTGGAACTGTTTTGATGAACAAAATAATAAACCAGCAAAAAGACTTTTTTTTTTCCTTCCCTGATATTGCTCTGTCTACCTCAGGCAATTGTTTTCATGCTTCTGACTGACACAGCAAGGATGGCAAAACTTTCTGCATAGACAAGAAATCCTGAGGGGGGGAACAGAATATTCACTGCTGGTTCTGGTTTCTGGTTGCATCTCAGTTGTCTTTCTGGGCTGGCTGCTTGCATGAGGGAGTTTGCTTTTAGAACTGTATTACAGGAGATTTGGGGCAGATGCCATTATTATTTGTTAAATTTCCATTCTTAATATATTGTTTATTTTAAAAGAGCACTAGTGTCTAGCATTTTCTGATGCTATAAGATACAAAAACTAGGCAAAAAAAAAAAAGAGTGCTTTGAGGAAGACCAACAGATAACGAAAGGACTGGCAATGTTTGACCACTGGGATGTATTTACTGAAAGAAGACCCTTTGTGAAGGACAGACTCAGTCTGAGCAACTGTGGAAATAGCCTTCTGGAAGCAAGTCTGGCTGAACTGATAAGCAGAGCTTTGAGCTGAGAAATGAAGGCTACAGAGTCAAAGACTCCACATGCCCGTAGACCACCAGAGGAGAAAGCCTAGGTACACGAGGGTATGCCAAAGCATAAAGGAATTTCAGTGATCAGAATAGCAGGGAATAAGCAGAAAGAAAGTGCGAACTGTGATGAGAATTGCTTCCAAGTTGGCAATACAGTGAGTGTCAGGAGCAGGTCTTAGCAAAGCTGTGGTGTGGGGTACAGGAATATTTAACAACAGTGTATGTACCAGAAAAGGCAAGAGCATGAACTAAGCTGGCAGGGCGTTAGGCAGGACAAGTATACACTGGTAACACAACAGAATAGCAATCACTGCTGGAACACTGGTCTCAAAGCATATGCATTATTCAGAAAGGCAGAGATAAAGGTGAAGGTGGTGGCAGAGAACTGCACATTAATGATACGAAACACTGCAAAGAAGGATGTGCAGAAGGGATAGCATGCAAAAAGCAGAGTTTGTTCCAGTTAAAATCACTTTGGGGAAAGCTAGTAAAAGAGAGTACTTGGAAAGTGCGATGCCCCTGATTTGGCTCTGGTTATGAGTAAAGTCATCAGTAATGCTATTGGAGAGATGCATTCTGCTGGGTTTGTATCGTGCAGGGAAATTTTTACCTTCCCAAATAGGGATCAAAGAACAAATGCCACTAATGATGACAAAATCCAGATACTTCCAGATGTAGTAGCCAACAAATTTCCTCATAAAATTCTCACAGAACTAGTATGAAATGATGCTGATTGAAACTTGGTTTTGGTAACTGATGACTGCAGCAAAAAATTACTTGGATCAAGTGGTCAGGGACTGACACTTCCTAATTAAATGGAACAGATAAATGAGTCTGTTAATAAGGTTTTGCATTTCAAAAGGGCAAAGTTTGGTAAAGTCATGGAATTGATTAGTAAAGGCAGATGGAGTGCAGAGTCCAGGCATTAAAACATTAAAGAGACCTGGAGAGTCACTCAGACTTTCTATGGGTCTGAGTGATTAAACATTTCGGGAATCTTTGTAACAGGCAAAAGAGAAAGCATATAAAGACTGAACATGTGTAAAGACTGAAAAAAATAATAATTTAAAAGTTAGGACTAACAGTACAATTTCCCCTGCTTGCTCTAAGCTTGTAAGTGAATAGAAATACATGGCAATGCTATCCAAGGTGACTCTTATGCTACAGTATGACCCAGCCTTCAAAACAAGTAACTAAAATCCAGTGAGACAGTGATTGGAAAGTACTAATGCTTTAGCATAAAACTTTGATGAGACCCTGCGGGCAGCTATGAGCATCCCATGGGCAGGAAAGCTTGATACCAACTGGAAGCACTGAGCAGAAACATGGCCAACTTGACCAAGGAGAAACAAGAAGAGGCCTGAATTACCTGGCTAGATACAAGCTGGCCACAAGAAATCAGCAAAATCAGAAAATACTTCCTTGCTGTTAACAGTCTTGCTGGGGGAAGAGTGAGCACCAAGAATCTAATGGTATTTAAGACTGAACCTGACACATTGTTGAAAGTGAATCTATGTGTTTGTGATAAGAGGAGCTCTTGCTAGTCCAGGAAGCCTCTTCTAGTCTGATAGGCCTAACTGCAACTGAATGCGTGAGGGAGAGATTAAAAGGAGAGATTTGTGTGATGAGAGAAGACTGCAGGTTTCCTTTGGTGTTTGGTAAATCTTTCAGCCACTTCTCAATTCTAAACTTTTGCTAATCTGCTATACGTGAACTGAAACAGGACTCAAATCTTGCAAAAAACTTCTCAAGTTTGAGCAATACTCAATAGCTTGAATGGTGAAAGAGGAAGAACTTGGATTTTTCATGTAAACTTCGAACCATTTATCACAGACTTGTCTGACTACTCAGCTGAACTTTACCATCTGAAATAGGTGGCTGGCTATATCTTATGCAGAGAACAAAGCTCATTCACTACCTGCCTGCCAGCCAAGCATCCAAAGTAAAATAAAGTGGCTTAGGACATTTGTTTAATACCATCTCATATGTATGCAGCATTGCTGTTTGCCAGTTGAAGCTAAACAGACCTGCAAGAGCTAAGAGCTTTTTGCAAGGTGCCATAGGAAATTATCCATTGACTTCACTGGGATAATATATATGAAGCTTCTATAGCTGAGTAGGTGGATATTTCCTCCTCTGTCCCCGGAGTACATCTGCTCCTGCTGCTTCTCCAGAGAGGTCTTTCGAGTGAAATTTTCAATAAAGGTGATAGGGTCCCCTGAGATATGTTCTTCTGAAGAAACTGGTGCTTGGTTATTCTTCTGTTTCTGTCACAGCTAATCAGCCGTTCCCTGTGTTATGCTGTACTCTTGAGACTCACTGGTCCAGCCCCTGTCGTGCACCATAGCTCTGGCAACTCGCTTCTTTGCAGCCCAGTGCTGCTGGCTGTCCCAGGCTGCTGATATCCCAGGCAAGCTGTGATTGATCCCATCACCACCTGGTTCCAGCTGACACATGAAAGCTTGAAGCAAAACAAACAAAAAGGTTTGGGGATACATATGTTTCTTCCACTGTAGGCCAGCACAGCAGCTTCCTTCATAACTCTCAGTTCCTGTGGTCTCATTAACTAGGTAACGAGATAAAAGTTTTGAATTTACCATGCTGTAGATCTAACTCTATACAAGCTGAGTGTGTGAGCCCTGAGTAAAGGGGTGTATTTTATCCCAGCACAACCACATGGAAAGGTATTCTGTATTTATTTCTGCCAGGTTTTAGTTTGGGTTTTGGAGTTCTTTGTTTCGTTTAACGCCTGCCTGGCTCATAGACTCACATGGTTATGCAGAAAATGTTTGAACAAAAGGGAGAGTCCAACTCACCCTGTCATGAAAAAACACTAGAAGACTTCATGACACAGAGAAGCACTACAGCCTGGATGGCAAACAAAGGGCTACCAAAGTAAAACTTCATCTCAGGCGGCATCACTGTAAATTAACCAAATGAGCTGCAGGCAGGGGTCATTTTGCCTGAGTGTTTTGTCATGGACTACAGCGTAAGTCAGGCCCCTTTTTTTAAACTGAGCCCACCCAAGAGATGTTTGTTATGGGCAAAACACATCTGTGCTCAGTAATAATAGCTCATCTTGACTAGTCCTGAATCCCAAGGCAGTACTGAATGCAGCCTGTCCTTGTCTGCACTGCCTGCAGAGAGGTAGGACAGAATCCATCTACCCTAACTTCAGCCACCTGGTCAGGTACTCTAGAACTAAGCTAGCTGTCTGGCCTCCTGCTGCAATCTGAGTGATGCAGGCAACTTCAAAAGGTGACTCATCCCTCCCTTTAATAGGTGCCTAAGCTAGCTGGCATGAATAGGCCTCCATCTCTACTGAATAGAGAGGGAGCCCAGACTTGGCCTACACATTAGCCAGTGTATGGCTAAAGTTAGTGAAGATAAATCCCATCTGCAGTCAGTGCTGTATCTGATAACTCAACTGCTAAAGCCACATTTGAAGTGCAGGCATTGCTTTTAGAAATAGGTATCATAAACTTATTGGTATCAGATGTTATCCTTAAATGGGCAGTTCTAAAGGGGAGACAGGACGGGGGAGGGATGGTAACCCCTTGATTGTGAAATTACATGATTACTAAATGAATATGATTCTTCAGCAGGCTGTTTTTAATGTCTAGGTTGTGTTTCTAATGAAGGAAAACATGTTGTATCACTGATCCATATCACAGTGCTCATGCTGTCTGCTATCAAGAGAAGGCAAGTTCTAAACACAGGATCTCTCAGATTTTTATTCATACCTGCAGAAGTAAAACCAGAAGGTTGTTCTTTTTTAAAATCAAAATAGTCTCTGTGCAGTGTATCTGATTCAAAACATATTGCTAGCAAGGTGGAACCTTGAAAACATTAAGATTTTTCTATGGTCAAAGTTAAAGATTAGAGGGCCCTGAGGAAACAGAACACATGGGCCAAAATTTTTAAGCCCAAATATTAAAGGTAGTCGGCCAAGTCAAACATTGGCATCTACATGAATGGCTCATGAATTACAGAGGGACCGAGCACCCACTGAGTCTACTTATTCCCTAGCACTTCTGAAACCTACTCCAGTTTTAATTAAATACCTTCCTGTGGACGAAGCTGCTTCAATTTTGTACAAAGGAATTAATGTGCTCCTTGCTTTACTAGAAAAACCTCATAGGATTTGGTCCCTTGTCTTTCTACACTGGAAAGGGAAGAACTGTAAGAGAAGCCTTTGGGGCTGACAGAGGGTTTTTCAGCTGAATCATAGCTAGTTCCCCAGAAAAAAAAAAAAAGGGGGCCCATCACATAATTCACCAACGGCTCAGCAAAAGGACTTTGGAGGAACAGAAACCTTCCATACAACTTCAGCAAGTTCATAATTAAAAGTTTAGGATGGTGTAATCACTATGCATTGCACAGCAAAACATACCTTTGACTTGCCATAGCTGATCTTGCCTTGGGCTCTCCTGGGACTGACTTGGGAAATGCATTGCTTAGAATTAGCTCAAGGAGCTGTTCTCATCTTTCGAGTATGAGAAAGCTCTCAACACTGAAATAATTTCAAAGCCAGAGCTGAATTTCTTTGAGTGATAGAGAAAACCCCAAGATACTCTAAGATTAAATAGTCAAACAAAATAGGTGCCGTATTTTAGGTTGAATGACAATCTTTACGTCCTACCTGATAGAAAAGAATTAGTATCTGCTACTGTAGAACTAAAAGTAGGTCTTCCTCACCAGTGTCAAGAGGACCTTTCCTAAGCTGGAGGTTGTGATAGCAAAATGTGCCAACTGCTGTCCTTCTGAATTCGTGCTGCTTGTGGGATGACTGAAGAACAACCATGGAGAATCATCCACCTGAAAGACATTGGGCAGCTGTGCTTCCATCACTCTTCACATAAAAGTGGAAGAAAAACTTTCCCTTTTGTTGTGGTTTAAACTTGGTAACTCAAAACCACGCACTCTCTCACTCCCCCTCCCCTTTCTTCCCCCCACTCCCGGAGGGATGGGGAGGAGAATTGAAAGAATGTTAACTCCCACAGGCTGAGATAAGAACAGTCCAGTAACTAAGGTATAACACAAACCACTGCTGCTACCACCAGTAATAGTAATGATAAGGGAAATAACAAGGGAGGAGAACACAACCACTCACCACCAACCGACCAATACCCAGCCCAACCGAGCAGTGATCTAGCCCTTCTGGGTAACTGCCCCCAGTTTTACATCCTGGGCATGACGTGCTGTGGTATGGAATACCTCTTTGGCTAGTTTGGGTCAGGTGTCCTGTCTCTGCTTCCTCACGGCTTCCCCTCCTCCCTGGCAAAGCATGAGACTCAGAAAGTCCTCGGTCAGGGTAAACATTACTGAGCAGCAACTAAAAACATTGGTGTTATCAGCACTGTTCCCAGGCTGAAAGTTAAAAGCACAGCACTGCACCAGCTACTAAGAAGGAGAAAAATGACTGCTACTGCTGAACCCAGGACACCTTCCTTAGTTTAAAAGATTCACTTGAAGCTAGTAATTCCTATTTCCTGATATAACCACAAGACCAGGTCTCTCTGCTGTTCCTATCCTTTGCTGAACAGTATGGCTTTGGACAAGGCAAAAAAGATTTGGCTGTACTCACCTTCTCCATTCACAGTGTAGTAAGCCCGGATGCCAAACATAACACCAGGCATGCCAGCCTCGGGGCATGGCACTTGAAAGTTAAGTACTGAGACAACTAACTTTTAAAACATGTAAATCCTTCACTGGATCTAGTCATAAACCTCTCTAGCCTAACTCTTCATGGGTATCTAATGAATTGGGGTGTGCCTGATTTTTCATGCCTGCTCTGAGACATCCTAGCCTGACTATCAGAGTTGTCTGTTTTTCATACACCCAAAAATACATTCTTAATTCAGCATAGACAGAAATAGCCCTTCCTACCAATCATTGAACAAGATGAGCCTTTGCAGATTCAAGAATGAAAATCTGTTCTTGTCTGTGGATACACACATTAAAATTTCTTGTCTATAAAACCAGTTGAGTGACAGTATTTCATTTTCGTCATGCAAAGTTTAGTTTGTATTTACAAGCTTTATTTTGATACTGGAATAAATGTGTGTTATTTTTGATTGCTAGTGCTCCTAAAGTGTCAGGAGATTATATGGGACAGGGATTACGAATCACACTTTCACCTCTGAAAATGCAAAACCCAGTGAAAATTTGACCAAGCAGCAGAGAACTGATCGGGCAGCAGTTACTGATGCTTAATTGTCTGGTTTAGGTAGTGCCTGTGGTGCAGCACGATCCAAAAGGATAATGTCCTGGTCGCCTTGCACTTCAGATTCCTTCTGGAGTGTACAAAGTTTTCACTCTTTATTGTAAAGCAATAAAGAGCACCTAAAAAGTCTGATTCTGGCTGTCAGAGGGCCTCAGAATTGAGTTTCAAGGTGAAGGCTTTTCAACATACTTAGTTGTTCTTCTGTTCAGAAGTCACAGGTAACCTGGGTGGAGGAGTCCCGTTTGCAAATGGTACGAGTCCTGTCAAAGATGCTTCAGATGTTACATCAAAATAAAGAGGGATTTAGAACCTAAATATTTCAGCATGAGCTTTAAGACTGAGGTCCGCATACAGAAAAGGATTTAGACTCAACTCTTGTTTAGGCTTTTCTCTCCCTGCTGGTGCCTAGAGGACCTCCCACAGGAATTTGTAGCCTAAACCCTCTGTTTGGGCTGTGTCTTAAATGCCTTAGCAGTAGTAAACTTCTGAGCCAAGGGATGTCAGTGACTCCCTGGTACCTAACCTGACAAAATCACTGGCAAATGTAACCTGGCCATCTAAGTAACACAGGATTTGCCACAGGCAGAAGTGATATACAAGGGATTGGACAACCTGGGCTGAAAAAATAAATACTGTTTGAGGGGCTGATGCAAATACAGTTGGTGCTAGGCAGAGGCTATTCTACCATTTTGTGGCTTTAGGCATGAACAGAAAGATTTCTGTGCTTCTTTAGGACTCACTGCCAACATGCATGTGCAGTAAACACAGCAAAAGTGGTATGTGTAATTGAAGATGTTGTATTCTTTATCTGTAACAGGCATATAGAAATGAATGAAGGTAAACTTCAAACCTGAAGGAAAACTTCTGTCCTGGTTCAGTAGCAATGCCTGTATTCTCCAATTCTAACTTGTGCCTTTAGAGGTGGCAAGAGCTGTAGAGAGGCAGGCATTCGTAGAGGCTGGTAGTGATCTTACATGAGCCCAAACATGTCCCAGAGGGTCTCTGCTTCTGTTTGTTACACATGCCATGGGCCTGGGGCGAGCAGGCTCCTAATCCAGGCAACTTACTTTATGCCTCAGATCAACTGGGGTGACTGGGTCAGGTGCCTTCTGAAATAAGTGTCACTCTAACTGTGAACACAGGCAGGGCTGCAGGGCCCCTGCAAAAGGGCAACGTCATCATTTAACCTTAACAATTAACATAGGCTCAGATATTTTGGTAACAGAGAGCTTCCTGAGCTACCAAAGAAGCAGTAGAAACGGGGGCCCTATTCACTTGCACGATGTGGCAGCTGCCTGGGGCCCTGCCTGACTTCGCACCCTCAACTCTGGCTGTCTTTGCTGGGATGTATTCATCCCCACATCAAAATGAAATAAAGAATTAATAACTAATGATGATGATTACAATAATAATGATGATGATGCAGCTCTACCACACAGCTATGACCGCATAATAAATAAAACTAAAAATAAACACACAGAGGCTGTGGGGCAGCTTTTGTGCAGAGGATCGGCACCTTTCCCCTTGCAAAGGGCACCACCTCTCTCCCAAGAGTGGTGCCAACCCCAGCCCTGCTCCCGGGGGCCGGGGCCGCTGAACCCACGCGGTGTCTGTCAGTCGGGGCTGCCAGAACGTGCCTTGAAAGAAATCAGTATGCCATGCGGTCGGTGCCTGCTTTGCCCGGGACAGAGGGGCTTAAATAAAAAAGAGGAGCAAATAAAAAATAAATAAAATATAAAAAAAAAAAAAAGAAAGAAAAATGAAGAACATAAATAAGGCGTAAATAGAGGGGAGGAAAAGGAGCAAATAACTCCTCCGCCCCGAGTCTCCGGCGATCCTGAGGAGGAAGGGCGCCCGGAGCCACGGGGAGGGACGGGCGGCGGGACCGGGCCCTGCTGCCCCCGGCAGCGCGAGCGGCGGGGCCTCCGCCTCCCGTTAGGTGGCGCTACAGACTTTGCAACCACGTGCGCGGAGGAGAAAAGGGATCATCATCATCATCATCATAACGATAATCATTAAAACCCGCAAACTCCCAGTGTCCGAAGCGCACAGAGCCCGCCCCTCGGAGGGCTGCGAGTGGGGGGACACCTGCGGCAGGATGCCCCTTCCCCGTCCGCATCCCAGCTGCCCGGCCCCCGGGGGCCCCAGGACAAGTTGTCAGGGGGACAAGCGGACAACCATGTCCTGGGGAGCCGTTCTCCTTCATGGGGAAGAGCCTGGAGAGACGAAGAGACGCACGAGCGGTGTCCCAGAAGGGTCCCAACCGGCGGAACCCGATCCCTCCCCGCGTTCCTGTTCTGCTCCAAAAAAGCTACTCGGGCAGTCTGCGCAGCCGGGCTGGGACCTGCTGGCTGAGGGTTTCATCAGTATGCCCCACACACTCTCCGGGTTTTTATTTCCTGGAGTCCCGTGTTTCCCCTCTTTAGGACCCCGCACGTTTCCGGGCAGCCGGCCGGTGGCCCGGGTAGGGGACCCTCCGGAGTGGGTCTGCCTTCGGTGGGCGGCTCTACCTGCGACCCACTCCGGCCATGGCGGGAGCGGACCGGCGCAGCGCTGCGAGGTGACAGCGCTGGTCCTCTCTCAAACACCGCGCACCCAGCCAGTGGCCGGCTTGGATTTACTTCTCCGCCTAGTCAGCAGCAGAAAGGTGGCCGCGTCTCCCCAGCTCGGTTGCTGAGCGTGTAGGCAAACATCCCGAGAAGGGGTCAGGGCTGTCGGGACGAAAAGGCCATGCCCCCTCCGCATCCGTCCCTGCCGTCGGGCGGTGAACTTCCCTGCGGGGTGAGTTCTCCTTTAAGAAAGGGAACGGTTCCTTATGCATATTTAAGAATGTTTGTCTGCAGCAGTGCCCAGCTGACGCGGGGCCGGAGGCTCACACGCGGGACCCGAATTCTCGGGGAGTAAATCATCCGCGCTTTACACGCACCCTCTGCCAGGGCTCCAGTGGGGAGCCCCTTGCCATTACGCTAAACACATGTAAGTCAGAACCGAGGCGGGGGACTGGGGAGGAGGAGGAAGAAGGGAAGTGGCTGAGTCTAGTTAGGAAGATGAGTGAGCTATTTTGTTCATTCCTATCACCTAAACCCAATTAAAAAAAAAAAAAAAAAAAAAAAAAAAGAAAAAAAGTCAAGGAAAAGCAAAACCGCCCAACAGATAATAGAGTTTAGGGTAAGAAATCTTGTCCTTGGACTTTCTTTTTAGCTTTTTCTTTTGTTCTTTCGTGTCATTTCCCGCCCAGCCCAGGGACTCCTGACCCACTCAGCATTCCCTACGGTACCCAAGTAAGTGTGGTTTGGAACTTCCCCCCCCCTTTCGCTCTCCACGGGAGCGCTTTGCTGGGTGCGCAGGTGGCCGTGTGAGGAGCGGAGGGGAGCGTCAGGAGGGTGAGTAAACCCCTCGGTGCAGCCGGGGAGGGGGGCGGGAGGAGCCTTCTCACCATCATTCATCACAGGGCTCTACCGCCGTAGCGGGGGTGATCCCGAGCATCCTGGGGCCTCCTGGGGATGCGAGCGCCTTGGAAAAGCCCCCTTTGTGGCCAGGCACCCCTCTACCCATACGTATACATATACTTCTATAAGCGTAGGAAACGATAGGTTGTATGTGAAGGTCAGCGGAGCTCCAGTGGGAAGGAGCAACTTTCAGAGCTGTGCTCTTAGCGGTTTCCTGCCTTTTAAAGTGAACTTGTTCGAGTGTGTTATTCGAAATGTGGTTCAGTAGTTATGCCTTCAAATTAAGTTGCTTCTCGGTCCTCATTGGGAAAAGCAGACATGTGTCCTCAATTGTATAGTATAAAAAAAAATAAAAATAAAAAGAAAGAAATCCACTAGGTACTTTATGATTCCATCTGGAGAAATTAAAAGCCCAGAGCTGTAATGTTTATTCTTACATAGTTTACAAAAAAAGGGGGAAATGTGTGAGACACATGTCTCCAAATATAACCAAAGTGCTTTCCCTTCTGGTTAAAAAGTTGCATGCAAATGTTTTCATTTTAATACTCCCTGCCACCTGTACTTCGCAGGGAAACTTTTCTTGGCGTTAGTGATGAAGCACCAATAGTACTTATTAATGAATTAATTATTATTATGGCTGCTGAATTGACTTAAAGTGCTTTGGAGGCCAAACTAATCCATGTTAATCAGTTACAATTGATGGTGTTTCAGCTGCTGTTTTAAACACAGTTTCACGGACAGAGTTGAGGAGGCTATGCATGGGGTATAGGGGATGAGGGGTGCTCCGGGGACACTCCCTGGCCCTCAGCCCGACCCCATGCCCTGAGGGTTCCTTTTGGGTTGCCGGAACTGGCGTAATATTGTCCTGATGCCTGCCTCAGGTCACGCAAAGTTGCCTGAGGTGACCAACTCCTCTTTCTCCTGCCGAAAGCTCCAAAGACTGAGGGACTCCCGGGCTTAGGAGCGGAGCCCAGGGGGGAGATTCCTCTCTGGAGTTCGCATTGTGGAGAGGGCAGCAGGCGGCGGCTTTGCTCTGCCGCTTCGGTCTGGGGCTTTTGTGTTGCGAACGGAGGCAGGGAGGCAGCGGCGGGCAGGGAGCTTGCGGGGCGCTGAGCACACACCCCCCCCCCTCCGAGGGCCGGGCTGCGGCCCCCGACCTGGAGGGACATGGAAAAGGGAAGGCAGGGCAAGAAAAAAAAAGCTCCCTAAGGGACAAGGGACAGCTGGGCCAGGCTGTGCGCACCCGGCAGGACGAAAGGGGCTGCCGCAGGGCCGGGAGCAGGAAAAGCCGGGACGTGCAGCCGCGATACCGAGGGGATGGTCATACCTGCCCTGCCCCTCCCGGGCTACCTGCCGGGCTCAGCGGGAGGAGCTGAGGAAGGACAAGGCCTGGGAAGGGAGTTAGAGAGTTGGGCACAGCTTGGGAGAGCCCCCGTGGCGGTGGGCCGGGAGGGGAGGAGTTGTGGGCAGCTGGTAGCAGGGCGGCCCGTTTGTGCCCGGCACGACGGCTACGGCGAAGCGTCCCCGCCCCGAGGGGTGAAGCGCGGAAACAGAGCGGGCCCCGGCTCGGGTGGAGAGGGAGAAGGCTGGGGTCAGGCCGGGGGCCGCGCACCGACTTCCCGCAGCCACGGAGGAGCTGGCGGCGGGGTGGGGGGAGAAGGTGACTGGATGACCAGCTGCCGCTGTTTTGCCGGGCAAAAGGGCTTTTCCACAGGAATAAAGTGTCCCCCTCCCAAAGTTCGGGGTGGGAGAGAGGGAAAGCAGGTTGTCCACCCCCGGCTGGGCACAGCATCCTCCTAATAATCGGGAGAACTAGGAGGAAGAACAGGAGGAGGGGGTGTCTTCCAGGGGGTCACCAGATGTCCCGAAGGATTGCTGGTAGGCAGAGAGTCCCAATTCCCGAAAGCCACCCCCGCCTCAGCCTTCAATGTGATGATTCCCCCTTTCCCCCTTCCCACCCACCCCCCCCCCCCCATTTTTTCTTTTCTGCAGTCTGCAGAATGCCAAAGGAGAAACTGCTCTCCATCCCATCCTCTCTGGAACTGTGTTGCTGGGGTTGTTTATTGCAGATTGATTTTCCTTCTTCTCCCAATCCGGCTCTTTCTCAAAGATTCACCCTCTTTTATTTATTTATTTTTCCCTTTATCCCATTGACTCTGCTCTTAAGCTTTAACTTAAGATGGGCAAGCAAAACACCAAACATCCCTCCTCCTACACGTGCAAACAGAACAGGGGAAGGTTTCTTGGAGAGCAGTAAACCAACTCAACAGAAAACCTTCTACCTGCAAGAGAAGACACTGCACAAAATCACACCCACACCCCCACCACCCCCTGTCCCATATCGAATGCAGCTGTAACTCAATGAAAACTGAGGGGAAAGATGCGTTTTCCACGTGGGCAAGAGACAAATAAGGCAGCAGCGGGCGGCCGGGTGGGTAAGACACCTCGGTCCTGCTCGTCACGCGTGGAATCGTTTTCTCCAGCTGGGGCGGGTGGCGATGCTCTCTCAGAGGTACGGGAAACAAATCCTTGGCTTCCGTATACCACAAAAGCAGGCTGCCTTAGATGAAACATTCGTATTAACCAACTTCTTTCTCCCCCTCCTTCCTTCCCTCCCTATTTTTGTTTCCCTGGGTTGAGGGACCTAGGTGGTCAAGAATAAAAAAGAGAAGGGGGGTGGGGGGGAGGGAAAACCAGCACTCGCGTTTGTGGCGGCACTTTGTCGTCGGGCCAGCACACCCGCCTGAGATTATTGCTGGGGATTTATTTGCATGCAGCTGCAAACCCACCCCCCGGGTGCTGACCGCTGCGCATAAAGGGCTGCCGGGGCCGGCCCCTGCCCGGCCGCCGCAGATCCCAGCGGGGGCACGGCCCAGGAGAGGAGGGAGTTTGATTTGGGAGCGGGTTTGCTCCCGACAAAGCTTGGTGGGGGAGGGATGTTACTGAGACGGCAGCAGCAGCAGCAGGGTCCCCAGCTCAGTCAGAGGCTGCAGGTGCGGGGGGTGGGATGAGGGGTGGCAGCCGTCGCTCCCGCTGGCCTTGCGCACAGGAACCTCCGGGAACAGCTTCCCCTAATGCACATGTCCCGGGAAAAAAGAACCGGTGGTGCATCATCGGGATTTCTTAGAGCTATTTTCAGTGCTTTGAAATTTGCACTAATGTTGATGCTCCCTTCTCTCCCCCTTTCAGCCCAGCAGCGTTTGACGAGGGAGATCTTGACCTCTGAAGCAAGGGCTTCAAGTTCAGACTACCTCCTTCGCTCCCCCTGTATCCCCACGCACCCTCTCACGTTGTGAGGACGGGTTTGGCTACCTCTGGGATCGGTGCATCTGGCTCCTAAGACCTTCCTCTACCTCAGGCTAAGCCACTAGGTCTCCTTCCTCTTCTCCTGGAGAGTCAGGCGAAGGTGCAGGGCTCCCGGGGCTTGAACTTTTTCCCCTCCGAGCGTAGCTGGAACAAAAGCTCACCCCGGGGTGGGAGGGAGCCCCCGGGAGTGCTACTGTGGCCTGGCCAGGCTCCATCTCCCTGCAGAGAAGGACAGGGTTAGAGCAGCCCCCCTCAAACTTTGCGGGGGTTCCTATCCATCCTTCTGCCCTGATGGCCTGCATGGGGCTCTAGGAGAAGGGGAAAGCAAAACTGAATTGCGAGGAGCTCAATTATTTTGGCAGAGGAAAGAGACGTTCCTGCTCCACACAGGCTCCTTCCTCCGGCAGGGCAGGAGCGGGGTGGGAAGAGGAAGGGGGAGGGAGGCCTACAACGGGCGTTTCTCCCAAATCCAGGGGCTGAAGAGCGCTGTCTGACAGGAGGGGGGGGACTAGGGGGGCGCAGCGCCGGGTGGGTCCCTCCAAGGGGAAAACCGCCCCGAGAGGGCGAAGCTGGAAGGACAATGGAAATGCACACACAGAGACGCTCGCCCCCCCGCCTCCCCACTGCGGTGCGTGGGGATGTCGCGCTGCCCCTCTGTCAGGCCACGCCGCGGTGGTGGTGGAAAGAATCCCGTTTCCCTGTGACACACACACGACACCCCGGCTTGAAAGCACCCATCTCATGCCACCGGGCCTCCCCGTCCACCGTGGATATCCCCCGGCGCGGCCCGGCCGGGATGTGGAACACATAAACGCACAGCCTCCTCGCTGCCCCTCGTCCTCCCCAGAGCACGGTGGGGGGGTGGTCCTCCAGGCCATTTCCTCATGGAAACTGGGGAATAGGGGGCCTGAAGAGCTTGGGCGAAGTGGGAGGCGCCCTTGGGCAGCGCTCAGGGGAGCGGGTTAGTGGTGAGAGTGGCCGGGAGAAGTGCGGGGAAAGGCATGAGGGGATGGAACCATTCGCAGGCTCCGTGCGGAGCGGGGAGGGGTGGGGGCTGTCATCTTTGTTTTGGTTGTGTTGTTTTGTTTTCCAGGGGACTGGGACAATAGCTGGAGTGGATTATTCATTCCCGTAGGCAATACTTCCCTGTATGGGCTTCAGGATGCAGTTGGAGGCTCGGGAACAAAGCGGGCATCTAATGTCAAGGTAACTGGTCCCCTTCCTTTGTTTATGCTATTGTTAATGACGGGGCTCGCTCAGCCCTGGCCTCAGCCCTGCTGTATGGCATTAATACTGACTTGAGAGAATAGGCAGGGCAATTAAAAACCCAACCCAAACCCCAGAGCAGCAGCAGCAGCACCCAGCCCAGTTCTCCAGGTAAAATATGCTTCTTCTGGGCTACTGAAAATGACATTGTCATGTCGCCTGGTATTCACAGAAACACACGTACCATTCGTGAGATTAAACACGTCTGTATCCGTCATTAACACTAAGGGGACACACTGTAACCCCGTCCTTCAGCCCAAAATCAAAAGAGAAAAGCATTATTTTCAAAGGCCCACTATTACAGCATGAGGGAATTCTCACCACGGTAAGCAAAAGAAAAAATCTAACAAAATAATTATTTTAATTACGATAATCTAAAAGTAGCAGAAACCTGAGCATTTATTGACTCATTTTCTTCTTCTCAAGGTAGTGGATGGTATTTAAAGTTCAACATTTCACACAGCTCCTTGTTTAGTTTAATTTCCTCGACAATCTAGGTGATTTCAGTAAATTGAGTTAAGAATTTTGGTACACATTTGAGTGTGGATCTGCATAAAATAGGGAAGGTAGCTGAACTGGGGAGAGGATGGTTTATTGTTTTAGGAAGAGAAGGGAGTGTATGTTTGCATGTGTGTGTGAGAGAGAGAAACAAATGGAGAAATTTGCACCTTGCATTTGGTCTATGGCTTTACTGTGGACTCTAGAATAAATATCTATTAGGTTTCTCTGAGAAATGTCCTACTTGGGCAGATAAACCCCTGTTTTGAATGAGAGCTCCAGAAGATGAATGAAATGTATGTGACTCCAGCACAATCCTTCACCAACACACACCTCCTTTTTCTTTCCCCACTTTCAGAAAGATTAGTTTCAGCTCTGCTATCCTGGGCCCACTTTCTGTCGAGGAAGGGATATAATAATGATCAATGCCCGGCACTCCTCATATCTGTCGTACTCGGTAAATATTCACAATGTCTTCAACTTGAAGGGGAGGTGGAGAGATGAGTCCAGACTCAGCTCCAGAGGATATCCCTGTCCTCTGGCTCTCACAAGCACTCACACAGAGAGGAGGAAAAATCCAAACAACCAAACCAACCCATTCAGAAGACCCTCCAGCCCACACCTCCCCTACAGCCACATGCTTGTTTTTTGTACTTCCGCTGCCTGCTTGGTGAAGTGGTCTACATACACAGGACTACCTGGCTTTGTGTGACCAGCTCAGGGTGTACATTAGTACTCCAGTTGGAAATGGAGCCTAGAGTTGTTGAGCAAACAGTTCCCACTCGCCTGTAGCATGCACTGAATGACGTATAGTCAGCTCTATGGAGCAGTGGCAGGGAAGTAGCACCAAGCATTTCCAAAACTAATAACACAAAGGTTACTATATATAAAACATTTATACAGCCCACGCTGCCTCAAGTTGTTTAAATTTCGGTTTGATGCACATAAATATAGCAGCCATGCGGTTCCCCATTAGCCAGTCCCTCCTTTTTTAAATCGATTCATTTCAAATTGAAAGAATGGCCCCGGACACAAGGCAGTCAGCAACTCTTTGGCTTTCTCCAGTCAACGTGGACCTCAGGAAGAAATAGTACTTGTCATTGTCATTTCACACATGTATCACACCGCCTTGATGTTGTGTTTAAAAGCAGGCCTGCTACTAGTGCAGGTAAAAGTCCCCAGCTGTTTTCCCCCTTTAATCCATTTTTTCCCTTCTCATCTTAGGCTTCTTCCTAGGAAGAAATAATTCTGCTGAGACCCCTTGCCTAGGCTTTCGAAGGCTTGCAGAGAAGCATGGTAGGAAAGCACCATCCCTGTGGATAGAAACTCTTCTCTCTGTCATGTGCCTTGCAAGAAAGGCAGCAAGGGGACACTTGGAGTGATCTGGTATCCAGGAGCAGCAATCCACTTCATGCTACTGCGGAGGAAAGTTTGTTTCCAAACCAAATATGTTATGGTGCTCCGTACTGGTGTCAAGTCAGTTTGAACCATCCCAGGTCTTAGAATAAAGATCTCCATTTGTGGTATGCCTGTGAGCTTGCCTTGGTAAACTTTCCCTGTTTGCGTTGAGGGTATTGAGCTAATGTAATGCCATCTTTTCACCCTACTGATGTGCTCAATAGGAACAATTCAGAAAAGTTCTGTTTAGCTTTTCCCCCCCGCCTTGTAGCTGAAGAAATGCAAGCTATCAGAAACAAGCCTATGTTTGAAGGTACAGTTTTCAACATGTGAGTGGGGAACATATGTACTGGCACCATTCAACCGCTCTTTAAGGGCTGCACTTAGATTTTGGCTTTTAATCTCAACTCTGCTAGAGAGAGAGAGATGTAAAATGGAAGGCAATGTGATTATTTATGCTGTAGCCTTGTGATACTCATCCTATAACCGTTGGGGAGAGAAGCAAAACACTCTGCTGTAGCTTTGGGTGAGCCTGAGTTTCAGGGGGACTCTTGTCTTCACAGGTTCTCACTTCACTGCCTTTTCTTCCCTTGGTATTTGTTACACGGGATTTTTTTCTTTCCTTTTTGGTCTGCTGTTCTATGTTTTAAAGTGAGGAGAGACTAAACCCTGCTGGGAGAGGGAGCCCCTCGATCACAAACTCATGTTTGGAAAATGCCTAACCCCCTCGACCACCCACCCCCCTTCAATCCATCCTCCTCCTTTCAGGGGAGAAATGAAAACCTTAAAAGCAAAAGAGAGAAGGGGGGTGGAGGAGGGAGGAGCACCCCCTCATTCCTCAATGACCTGTACAGCTTGGACAGAGCCCCAAGTTCTTCCTGGAGATAAACCCTGTCGGAAAAATACAAATAACAATAATGAACCCCCCTACATGCCTGAGCTTTTAATGTGGCTTGGGTTTTGTGCAATACAGGCTCGATTTTAGCACTTTCAAGAGGAAACATAAAGGGGCGGGGGAAAGAGGAGAAAAGAAAGTTTGAGTTTATCTCTGTTGCTAAAAAAGCACCATGCCCCCCCCCCTCCCCCCCAGATGTCAGTGAAAGCAGCCAGCGGCCCCTGTAGCCACTGTCCCCCGTCCCAAAGGCAGGCAGCCCTTCCCACGGGCTGGCGGGGAAGTTCTTTGGTGCTGCTGAAGCCACACATACATATATATATATCTATCTCATACACACACATCTTTATATATAGCTTTACATGTAGGTGTCTAGTCTATGTTTAAATAATCCTATCTATACACACAGTCCTCCTCTGATGAGGTCATTCTCCCATATATACGAGATTGGGTGCGTGATGCCAGAATCGAACGCCAAGAGCTTATCTCCACTGCTCGAAGAGTAATGTAAAGTCAATGTTGGCAGAAAGGGGAAACACATTTTTTGAGAGAAACATTCAACAAGGTCTCCCTGAAGGCGTTTCTTCTGCCCTCCCCAGCAGAAGTAGCCAAGCACCTTAGGCCAAACAGAACCACACTGACTCCTGCTCCAGAACCGGGACAGGCAGCACCCCAAATGTGGGTCTGTGCCAGACTGGGGCTGCTCCTCGACATTTTTACCTCCCCCTTTCTCTTCCCTGAGCAATGCTCGCCTCTCCAACCAGCCAGTCGGCTGCAGCTTATTTATTTTTATTATTATTTTCTTTCTTTCTTTCTTTCTTTCTTCCCCTATGGCTCCCAACGTCTTAATTTTTATTTTTTTTTTTAATTTCAGGAAACTCAGAACGAAAGGGGGGATGCTGCTTGAAAGTGTGACTCAAAAAAAAAAAAAAAAAAAAAAAGAAAGAAGGTTTCGCTTTACAGCCATCAGTAGCACCAGGAGACAGCTCCATTAAAAAAGTAGTTTTCCACTGCTCTTGAAAAGCCGTTATTTTTTACATCGCTTTTAGGAAGATAGATTAACAAAACATCACATTTCAAGCCACTCTGATCTGTAATTAAATGGAGGAGCCGGTTTGTATTCTCCCATGGCTTTTACAGAAGTTGCAGTGATCCAAAGTCAGGTTGCTGTGTCAGAGTGGCATTTTTATTAATGAGAATACAAAAAGCTTGCATATTCTTAGCCCGGCTTGAATTTAGTTGCTAAGCAACCGCTGTATGGTAATTCATCCGCGAAATTTAAATCTTGGAGAAAGGAGTCTGCGTTTTCCTCAATGGTCGCCACGAGGAAAACAACTTGTGGGACCCGCAGCAGCTGCCGCCGCGGCACTGCGCCGCCCGCCCGCCGGCTCCCCCCCGGGGCTGCCCCGCTCCGCCGGGAGCTCTGGGCCGCCCGCCCCTCCCGGGCCGCCTCGCTCCGCCGCCCGGGACGCCCCACCAGGGAGGGAGTGCGGCCGGGCACGGCAGGACGCCCTTTCGGGGCTGCCCCGGGCCGGCCTTCCACGAGTGGGGAAACGCGGCCCGGGCACCGTTCTCTCTGGGAGAGGTGAGGTCCCCAGGGAGGAGGAGGAAGGAAGGGGGGGTCAGGTCCCGGTGTGCCCCGACAGCGAGGCCCCGTGGGCGCCCCCGAGACCCCGCTGCTCCTTTGACGGCTGGGAGAACAGGGTAGACTGCCAGCCTAACCCCTCTCGGCCTTCGTCCCTTAGCTTTTTGTACGGCCAAAGCCTCTCAGCCCAAAAAACAAGCACCCAAGCGCAGTGTCACCGGTCCCGCGGGGCCGCCCGCCTCCTCTCTCTTTCCCCCTCTCCCGCCGGCCAATGCAGGCAGCGCCCGCTCCGTTATTCCAAACTTCAACTCAGAATACCGGTGGGGTAACCACCTCTCTGCATCGCCCTCCCTCGCTCCATCTATCCGTCCATCAGTCCATCTGTCTGGACACAGGCCACCACGCTCCTCGCCATCACTGGTTTAAGCAAACCCGGTTCCTGCCCTAAAAAGCTCTCTTCACGCCTGCCTCCGAGGCCAGGACTTGTTGCATCCCTTTCCGAGTTCGATTAATTACTCGGAAACTCCAGCAAAGTAAAGTACATGTGGCGAAGAAGCTCTCGCCTAGAGTTTGGTCCTTCAACCTGCCAGGTACGGGGGTGATCCTTCCACCCCGGGCAAACCCGAACAAGTCTCTCTGCGCCTCGGACATACATCCCTGGATAAATGTATGGAAGTATTGATTTTGCTGTAGCTGGAAGATGTTGATCATTTATTACAAAAATAAACGAATAAATACAACAATATATTGTTGCTTTACGACAGGATAATTATTTTACAAATATATAATTTAAAAAGCAGATTAAATTGTTAAAATTATTTAAAATATTACAATTTACGGATAAAATTATCAATAGTATATACTGCATTTCATAGTAGAACCGATTATTCTCTAAGCGTTCAATTGAAAACCAGTCATACAAAACAAGTTCTGAGCATCATCATGTGCAAACACGAGCCACTACATTAAAGCATAAGGACTCTGGAAAGATCACTTTCCTAGTGGAACCGCTGCGTTTTTAAACCAAGGTAGAGCTCTCTGCTAAATTCCAACAGATACGCAGACCAACGGCAGTGAGATGGCTCTTTTCAGTACACCTGAAAATGATTTCTTGTGTAAAGGCTCGACGGGGGAAGGATGGGATGCGATGGGAGGGAGTGAGGATACTGGGGACCACAGGATATGAAAACATAAATAAGCACACGTCGGGATTACCCAGACTGATCAAACAGAACTTCGTAAAACATTTGGCTTTCCTTTAGGCAGAACAGCAGGAAAAAAAAAAAAAAAAAAAAAAAGGGAGTAAGGAAACTGATGCCGACTCAATTACCAAGCACAGAACACTGATATTAGAAATGAACACAATTACTAAATTCATTAAGAGATCTGGCGATATATAACAATATTTTCATTATTTACACGTGTAACCATATAACCCTTAGCGCAAACCCTCTCGGTGATTATCTACCTCTCGTTATCTCACAGCTTCACAACCCTGAAATTCCTAAATACATTCAAAGGGTTCCGTTTCTCGGGGAGTAGAGAGGAGCCCGGGGGAGGGGGGGGGGGCTATGGCCTCACTTTTTGTGCGTGACAAGTCCACGGAACGGGCATGTTTTGCCGTCCCACGGACTAAAGGTTGCCCCCTATCCCCCCGCCTGCACCCCGGCTTTTCTGAGGCATCCTCCCCCCCAGGGTTGCCTTGTAATAGAAACCAGTGCGAAGCCTCACGTTGGCTCTTTGTTGCCAACCGAATCGAGGAACCAAATAGCGCTCCGAAACTTAAACAGCCCTTCTCCCCGCCTGATAAACCGCTCCCCTTCACGGGTGGAAAAGAGGATCCCACCTCCCGCCTTAACGGGGCCCGGGTCTCCCCCCTCCCGCCCCAGCCGCGAAATGAGCCGGCAGCTTTTGCTAAATGAACAAAAGAAAGACCGTCCTTTACCCTTTCGGGGTTTCTTTCCCTTTGTTGGTTTGGGTTTTTTTCCTCTCCCCCCCCCCCCTTTTCCCTCCGTGTCAGTGGGGCCTTTCGGATTTCACAAATCAAATCGACGGTGATATTTTACTACGAGCTGGTGGTAAAATAACGCAACCCGGCGCCCGGCTCCCAGATTGCCTTTGATTTATGGACTGACACAAGGCCTAATCTGAAAGGAAGAAATGTTTGCTGTTCCTACAGCAGTTTTCGGGGGGTTTAACCCCCTGCCTCAACAGCACATAAGAGTAAATGGGGAGGGGGGAAGGACGAAGAGAGGGAGAGAAAGGTGAGGAAGGAGCCACGGATGAGTTGGACCATAAAAGAAAACCTCATTCTCCGGTAGATTATCGGTGGGGGCGGGTGGAGGCGGGAGGTGCAGCTCTGTGTTTCCCACAACCTCCCCGCTTGAGAATAAAGAATGCGGAGAAGGTGGTTCACTTGTCCCTATATCACAATAAATTATAGCGGATAAATCTGACAGGCAGGTTTAGCGCATCAACCGGCATCTCCAACATTACCAGCACACGCGTGTGTTTGCGTGGGACAAAATTAGACTACAACACTTCACATCCCATAGAAAAACCCTAAGCCAACAACAGCAACAACACCAACAGCAACAACAGAAACGGTGAACCAGGCGGACCACACGTAGGATGGGCTAAAGTATTATTCTAGTGGAAGAAAAAAAAATAGCTGCTTAAATTATAAAGATAAATACAAATATTTACAGAGACATAAAATGCATCAAAATAATTTACAGTTTACAACCCCCCTCCCCTCGCCCTCCACCTCAGTTTGAAAAGAGGGCAACCAAGAACGAACTTCTGGAGCCAACCTTGCTCCGAGCACCGGCCCTACCCAGGCCCTGCCGGGCCAGCCTAACCCGCCCCGCACGGCCTTCCCTGCGGGAAGGGGGGCTTTCAGCATCCCTAATCTCGCCTTCCCTCCCCACGGCGGGGGGGCCCTACACCGATGGAGGAGACCACGGAGATGTGCCGGCCGGGCAGGGGGGTATGAAGGGGGAATAGCCCCGGGGGTACAGGAGGGAAGGCGACACTACCTGGGTGAGGGGCTCGGACCCCCCCATCTTCCTCTCACTTCATCATTTGCAGTATTACTCTTCAGAGAACTTTGGGTTTTTTTCGACACAGTGTTTATGCATCAGACACAGACTATTTCATTCTAACAAATTTATTTTCTCAATCAGCTCTTACGGAATCACTACTCAAATTAAATTACAATCAAATTATCACATCAAAAGATACCCTTATTACCTAACAACTGTCCATATTTTCATTTCATTTTGATTTGTGCTCGTCTGAAAAAAACACGTAATACAAGATCTGGGGAAAAAATAAATTACCGTTTTGCAGCAGTTCATAGGTATTCTGAATAAAATATTAAAAGAAGTCATTTAATGAAAATATAAAGCAAATTTTTTTTTTTTTTTTTTTTTAGATCAACAACGGATCTAACAATTCTATATTGCCGTCTTTTTGAAAAGTCTGTTTATTAAAACCTACCAAAAACACTGCTTGGAAATGGCAGTATTATATAATCACATCCACAGCACCCATTCAATCAAAGTTGGCAACGGATTTAGGAGAGGAGAAGTTCAGATAAGTGCAGCTGCAGATGCTCAGTCCTTCTAAATCCCTTTATCTGAATCAGTCCAGAAATAAAAAATAAAAATATTAATAAAAAAAATATTAGCAGTGGATTTTTTTTTTTTTATGACTCTTCCATGATGATTGGCAGCCGTCAGGAGCAGGACTTTGACAGCCCTAAATTATTTCCCTTTCTCTCGCTGGTTCCCTTAATTCATGCAAAGTCCTTCTACAGAGCTAGAACTTTAGGGACCAACAACCTCTCCCCCCCCCCTCCCCCCGAGTCTGTCCCTCCCCCCCCTTTTCTCCTCAGGGTCAGTTTTTCGGCGTGAGGGCTTTTATTTCCATATTTTTTGTTCTATAGCTATACCTATATATATAGATAAATATATATATATGTATTTGCTTCCCTATGCAGTCTGCTTGTTTTTAGTGCTGTGTGCATATTTTCTTTTCCTTTTTTTTTTCTTTTCTTTTTTTCCTGGAAAAAAGTGGCCCCTTTCATTTTGCAGAATATATAGATATATAGATATATATGTTTTCAGAGTGGATGTCTGCCTTGCACCAAAATCCAACGGTTTGGCCAAGAAAAACAGGGTGCTGGAATGCAGCAGGCACCCTCTGATTAACCAGATTATTTTGCTTCTGCTTCTCTAATTTTTTTTTCTGATTGCTCCCATTCAAAAAAAAAAAAAAAAACCAAACAAAAAAAACAAAACACAACCAAAACATACAAAAAAAAAAAAAAAAAAGAAAGAAAAAAAAAAAGGAACGAGAGAGAAAGGAGAAAAAAAGTTTCTGTGATTCATAGAAGAGAGCCCTTTTGGGGATAGGGGGAAGAGTGCGGGGAGGGGGGGAGGAGGGGAGAGAAGAGGCGCAGACATCACTGGTGCTCCTCGCTGCGAGAGGGGGATAATTTGGAGAGTGAAAATACAAATAAAAATAATAATAATTAAAAAATAAATTTAAAAAAGAAGCTCGAGCCCACCCCCCCAAGCCCTCTCCCCACAGCCACCCCCCCCGGCACAGCTGCAGTTTTGGTGCATTACGCATCTCCACCCCACTTTCCCAACGCGGTCTGAACGCTCTCGCTCGGATCGACCCTTCTCCACCGCTCCCTATCGGTATCGATCTTATATATATATATATATAGATATAGATGCACGCGTCTATCCATATATATATAAACACAAGCAGTCTGAACGAGCCTGGATCATGTGTGTGTGTGTGTGTGTGTGTGTGCGTGTGTGTGAGTATGTCCGGGTGAGCGGGCGGCTGTGCGCGCCGGTGGCGGTGCCCGTCCCGGCCCCCTCGCCTCCCGGCCCGCCCGCCGGTGCCCCTCACTGCACGCTGGCCTGCAGTCCGTGGTGAGGAGGCGGCGTGTCGGAGTTGACGGTGCCGACCTGGGAGTAGACATCGTCGGGGGTCTGCTGCTGGATCCCCGGGGGGGTCATCCGTTTCTCTTTCTGCCTCCGATTGCAAAACCAAACCCTGACCACCTCCTTCTCCAGCTGCAGGCTGTCCGCTAGGTTCGTAATCTCCTGGGCGGAGGGCTTGGGGCATTTCAGAAAGTGGCTCTCCAAGGCCCCCTTGACACTCACCTCGATGGATGTCCGCTTCTTCCTCTTCCTGCCCTGGGCGGCGATCTTGTCGATGCTGGTGGGGCTGCCCGTGGAGGAGTCGGCTTCCTCCAGCCACTTGTTCAACAAAGGCTTCAGCTTGCACATGTTCTTGAAGCTGAGCTGCAGGGCCTCGAAGCGGCAGATGGTGGTCTGCGAGAAGACGTTGCCGTAGAGGGTGCCCAGCGCCAGCCCCACGTCGGCCTGGGTGAAGCCCAGCTTAATCCGCCGCTGTTTGAACTGCTTGGCGAACTGCTCCAGGTCGTCCGAGGTCGGCGTGTCCTCGTCCGAGTGCGGGTCGTGGCTGTTGACGCCGCCGTGGTGCGGCGGGTGATGGCCGGGGTGCTGGTGGTGATGGTGGTGGTGGTGCCCGGGGTGCTCGCCCAGCTCCGGCGTCTCGCCGCGCACCAGCCCCGGGTGCACCAGGCTCTGCCCGCCGGGGGGGGGACTCAGCATGCCGTTCACCGTGAAGCCCCCGGGCTGCGAGTAGAGGAGCGACTGCTGCTGCTGCTGCCCGCCGGCCATGGAGGGCAGGTGGGCGGCCGCCGCCGCGCCCCAGGCCGCCGGGTGCCCCTGGTGCGGGGGGCCCAGGTGGGGCGGCCGGTGGTGCAGCGCCGCGCCCGAGTGCAGGTCGTCGCGCCCGCCGCTGCCCTTGACGTCGGGCGGCGGCGGCGGCTGCTGGGGGCTGCCTGTCATGCCCACGGGGCTGCCGGACCAAGGCGAGCCCGCTTCGGCGGCGGCGGCGGCAGCGGCGGCGGCGGCGGCGGCGGCGTGGGGCAGGGCTGTCACCCACTGGTGGGCATGGCTCAGCATATGGCCGCCGTTGCTGGCGGCCATGGCGCCCGGCATGAAGTCGCTCTGGACCATCTTGGCCGCCGGGTCGCCGCGGTACCCGCCCGCCACCGAGGTGACGGCCACGCTGCCCGGCTGCATGCCACCGCCGCCGCCGCCGCCGCCGCCCCCCGAGTCCGCGTGGACGATGGAGCCGGCCGCCAGGATGCCGTTGCCGGGGAGGTAGGGGTTAGAGGTGGCCGCGGCCATCCCGCGCCCGCCGCCCGCCGCTCGCCCCCGCCGCGCCGCCGCCGCCGCGCTGCCGCCGGCGGCTGCCGGGCGCCCGCCGCGAGCGCCCTTGCCCGGCGCTGCCGGGGCCGCTGCCGGGGCCGCCGCCCGCGCCGCCGCCGCCGCCGCCTTCCCAGCCTCGCCGAGGCGCCGGGGCGCGGGGTTCACCTGCTAGCGCTCCGCGGCGCGCGGTCCTCCGCCCGTCCGCCCGCCGTCCTGGCTCCGCTCCGCGGCTCCGCGGCCCTTGCAGCCGCCGGCTCTCGCTTCGCCTCGACTTCCTTCTCCTTTTTGTTGTGGTGGGGTTTTTTTTTCTTTAAATCGCTTTCCTCGTCTTTTTTTTTTTTTTTCTCTTTTGCCAAAAACAAGGAGAAATATTTAGCTGTACATCTATTTTTCCTCAGCCGCCCTCTCGCCCGAGTTTGCTGCTCGCAGGGAGGAAACCAAACAAAGGCTAAAAAGCGAAAAAGAAGGGGGGGGGGGATCAAAAAGCCCCCGTGCCTTCTCCCCTCGGCTCCCCTAGGAGTACATCTCCACCTCTCAGCCTTCCCCTCTCAGGGCGAAACTTTTCCTTTTCTTCTTCCTTTAAGGCTTTGTGTGTGGGTATATTTTCCTTTCTTTTTTTTTTTTTTTTTCTTTCCTTTCCCCTCTGTCTCTTTCTCTCTCCGCGTCCTTCTCGCTCTCCTCAGCTCCCCGATCTCCTTTTGCTCTTTTATTCGCAAGTTTTGTTGTTGGTGTCCTAAGAAAACTTCCTGTGATGATGATGGTGGTGATGGTGGTGATGATGCATTTCTCAAAGTTGTGCTGGTGCTGGAGCACTTTGTCCCCTTTGAAACAAGAGTCCCGCCGGAGCCTTCTTGCGAGAGTCACGCTCTGGATAAGACATTTTTTTTTTCCCCTCTCTCTACCTTTCCTTTAGGCAGTTTGTAAAAAAAAAAAAAAAAAAAAAAAAAAAAAAGAAGAGAGAAAAAAGTTGAAATTTCTCGTTACCTCGCGAATTGTTTCTCTCCCTCTCGCGCTCTCTCGCTCTCTCGCTCGGTTTGTTGTTTTGGTTGTTGGTTTGTTGGTTGGTTGATTGTTGGTTGTTGGATTTTTTTTTTTTTTGGTGTTTGTTTTGCTTTTTATTTTAATTCCAGCAGTTGGTCGAGGGAGGAGGCGGAGGAGGAGCGCCTTGCTGGAGAGGTGTGGGTATGTGTGTGTGCATATATGGTATCCTTTATACACTAACTCCAGCCGGGAAGTTGGCTGCCGGGCTGGCAGCGCGCACTGGCGGTGCCGGAGTCCCGCCGCTCGCCTCTCCCCGCCTCCCTCTCCCGGGCCGTGCCCGCGCCCTCCCTCCCTCCTCTTTCCCCTCCTTCCCTCCCCTCTTTTCCCTCCCTCCTTTCCCTCCCGCCGCCTGCACCCCCCGTCCGCCCCGCGCCGCCGCCGCCCGCGCCGCCACCACCCGACCCCGCCGCGAGGAAGCCGGTGGCCTCCGATTGGCTGCCAGCGCCGTGACGGACAGCTCGCCGCCGGCCGCGCGGCCCCCCTTCCGGCCGTTCCGATTGGCTGCCTTTTAATTTAGGCAAAGTGGCGTCGGAGCTGGAAGTTGTGTGTGTGTGTGTGTGTGTGTGTGTGTGTGTGTGTGTGTGTGTGTGTGTGTGTGTGTGTGTGTGTCGTGTCCCCCCACCTTCCCTCCATCCCTTCATCCCTCCCTCCTCCATCCCTCCTCCCTCCATCCACCCCTCCCTGCCCTCCTCCCTCCGCCCCTTAACTCTTCCTGCCCGGCGGACACACGCACCTCAGGGCTCCCTCGCCGCTCCGGCAGCGACGAGCGTGAAGGGAGTGGGAGGGGGCGGAACGCCGCTTATAATTAATAGTAATAATGACTACAACAACAACAATAATAATAACAACGGGGCTGGCCATGGGTAGGAACAGTTTTTGACGGGCACTGCCGTGCACACGCCGTCCACACCCCCCCCCGGCAATGTCGGCACTGACCCCTAAGGCTCCCCTCCCGCCCGCCCTCCACCAGCCTTTGTCTACCCCGCACCCCGGGGTGAGTCCGCCCGGCTGCCCCGTCGGCCGAGGGAGGCGGTGGGCCTGCCCTGCGAGCCGCGATCACTCGCAGGGAGCCAGCCCCGCGGCTTGAACCGCTACGTTATTTCTCGTCCAGCGGAAAGAGTTAAGGGGGGCGGGGGAAGGCGGTGGAAAAGGGGGGAAGGAGGGGGACGGGGGAAGCGGGGGGGGTGTGCGGGAGGGGGAGAGATGCGACCGAGCGGAAACGCCGCGCGGCGGCAACCTCAGTGAACCGCGGAGAAAAAGAAAGTGGCAACAAAAACAAGGGCAAATTGAGCACTCCCCGGGGCCCGCCGCTGCGGGGACACCGCTCGGACGTCCAGGGGACACGGTGCAGTTCGGGGTACCCCCGCCCGTCTGTACACGCGTGGGGAAAACACGCGTGGGGGAAACCGCGCGGAGTGGGTATTGCTGCTATGGGGAGCATGCCCTCCACTTGGCTCCTTTATCCCCTGCCCTGTTCCCCGCCGTGTAACTCGGCCCCGAGAGGCGGCAAGCCCCGGCTCCCCCCCGTCCCCCCGACCCCGCCGGCCCCCGGTGTTGGGAGCTCCCAACGGCCCCGGCTGGCGCTGCCAAAAGTACCGTGGTAGGTAGGTTTAGGAAAGCCATTAAAGTGAAGAGTACGGATCTGAAGGGCACTGGTAACTAAACCCCAAACATAACGATTATATATTTATATATATATAAATATTTTTTTTTTGTTCCCATGCGTCCTCCAAAGGTTTCTTTTTTATATCTAAAAGATCCAACACAGATTTCATTGAATAAATCTGAGATCTCCAGGTGCAGACGTTTGAATAGTCAGTGCCAGAACCCCATGTTTTCCTTTCCAGCCGATTTTGCTTGGATCAGGCTCAAAAACCGAGTGAGTCTCGTGGTTTTGTTTACACTGAATGGGGAGGATAGGAACGGTGCCATGGGGCCGTCTTTCATTAATATACAGTGAGGATTTTGTCTAAATTACTGCTATGAATTTCACAGTACACGCTTTCAAAAGCCGTCTCAGGTGGCCTGATGAAACGTGATAGCGCCTCTGCAAACAGATCTACTTTCTTAATAAAAAAGGAGGGGGGGGGAGAGAGAAATCCCCCCCAAATTAAAAAATAAATAAATAAATGCAAACCCTCATAACGGCGACAACAAAAAATAAAGCTCGATCTGGAGTAATGCCTTTTCTTAAAAAAAAATATAATAAATTAAACCCCCCAAACCAACAACCAAGTTAGTTCCCCAACTCTTCCCACCCCCTCCCTTACAGAGTGAGATTGTTTTGTCTGGAAAAAAATCCAAAGTATAACAAGGGGAGAACAGTTAGTGCTGATTTTCATTTGCATAAATTTTCATATATTTTGGTGAAAATAATAGACTAGTGGAGAGCGGGGCTTAGTGGAGTCAGTGCAAAGGAAAATCTTAACATGGATCGTTTCGCTGGAGTTGAGAACATGCTTTTTCCCCCCTGTCACCTTATTAAAATCAAAAATTAAAAAAAAAAAAAAACCAAAACCAAAACTCTCTCTAAATCCTGGAAGTATGATCGGTAAGTGTTTTACTTTTCTTTCAAAAATCTACTTTTGTTTTCTTTAAACTCTTCTGGATATATATTTTCAAAAGCTTAGGACCAGATAGGGAAACCCATGGCAACTGCCTGGAAGGAAACAGGCTGGAAAAAAAAAAAAAAAAAAAGAGGGAAAGGGAAAAAAAAATAAATCCCACCAGCAACAAAAAGCACCTTAGTGAAATATTACATAAAAAGCATGGATTCATTCCAAAGCTCAAGGCAGCAAAGCAATTCTTCAGCGCTGGAAAGTCTTTCTGGTTACTACTTCACTTTTCTGGGCACTGTTAATTATTGTAACACCAGGGCTCGGGTGGGGAGGGCTGGGGATGGGGGGAAGGAAAGCTCTCGAAAATATGACAGATTTGTAAAGCAGAGGAGAGGCAGAAGTGCGGGATGTTTGCAAACGCTGCTTCTCGGGCGGGGGGGGGAGTCCGGTGCCGGTGCTTGGTGACCCGGGCACCTGCTGCCGGGGCCCGTGCGGAGGGCCGGGAACGGGGCGGGCGTGAAGGCCGGGGAAGGTGCGGAGTGGCGAGTGCACGGAGAGGGTTAATATTGTAACTAGGGAACAGCCGGTTAAGCACAACATCTAGAGCTCTGTAGTGAAAGTCCATCAGAAAGAGTGTAATCAATCAAAACTAACCAGGACATCCCTTCATTTTATTCTCCGAGGAGGCTGGGGCTGGGGGATTACAGACCCGATCTCACTCGGTTTCTCTCTCCTGACAGCTTCGCCTGTCTCTCCGCGTTCCCCGAACCCCGTCTAATTGAGAGGTGTGGGCTAATGATCTGAAACTCTTTTATAGCGTTTGGGTCAGTGTGATAAATAATGTGATAAATAATGTAGGATTAAATTACTAGGCCAGATACCGCTCCTGAAAACTTTACCGAGGCTTAAATGTCCCATTACGTGACTTTCATTTATTTTAATTTTGCCGTGTTATTTGCATAATTTTTTTTCCTACCCCCCCCCCATCCCCTCCGTTGCTGCTCTTTTAGATACACAATGCCTGGTGATCATTGTAATTTCTTAGAATTAGTTACTTCTTTGGAAACGGTCGATAGTCAAATCAATAAAATGGCTTGTAAAACTAGGGAGGTATAGGTTTCAATTGGGGGGGGAGGGGGGGGGAAAGAATCGCTCATTTTCCACTTCTTGTTGACGTGCCCAGCGTCTCTTTTGACTGGGGTTAACTCTGTGTGCTCCATCGGAACAGATGCCGTATAGAGCTGCTCCCTCAAGATCATTTGTTTCCTTGATGGGGGAACATTTCTGAGCAGAACATATTGGTTGCCATAGAGAAAGAAATAAAAGGAAGAACACTAGTCACATTAAGCTATATGTTTGTGCACTGGGCTTTAGATAAAAGGACCTCGGTTCAAGCCAAGGGAGAACGGGGCCAAAGCAGAGCGCCTTAGCTTCACTAAAACTAGCTTCATTTTGGTTTGGACTTTTACGGTTGAAACATGTAAGCTAATTTTTATTGGCTGTCGTTAATTTTATACGCTACGGCTTGCTGAACAAAATCAACTTTCGGAGCGCTACGTCAGGCGACTGACGACCGCCAGGGGGCGCCATGGACGGCCCTCGTCCATCTCAACCTCCCCCCCCCTCCCGGCCCGTCCTGGGAAGGGGAGTAAAGGGGGCAGCTTTGGGTGTCCCCCAGTCCAGGCCTTTGCTCCCCAATTCCCTCCAGGCACCACGGCCGTGGAGAGGAGAGCTCCAAAATTCCCGGGACCGGCAGGACAGTAGCCAAGTGGAGTGTATAGGAGCTGCGGGTGGGGGGACCGGGGTGGGAAAGCAGATGAGGGGGGTTGCTGCCCATTCAAAGGTCGCCTCAAAAGTGTCACGGTTGGTGCGGTGCCTCCAACCGACCCAGGGCCTGCGAAGGAGCGAGAACAGCTCATTAAACACAGGCACGGGCACGGAGAGCCTGAGGTGCCACGCAGGTTTGGCTGGGTTTTTTGTCCACGTAAGGCGCTTAAGCCCCTGAAAGTGCTGTAAAGCAACTCGGGGTGTTTTTACATCATTTAATATTTAATCGCAGTATTAAACATCGAAAAATATTTTTTTTCCTTTCTTTTTCCCTCCCCACCCTCAAATTGGCCACTCCTCCCATGTTTCCCCCCCAGCTTCTCTACCTGTGACTGCCAGCGTCGGCCCCCCCTGTCTCCCGCCCTGCCTGCACCGGCCGCACACCGGGCACACGTTATCGCCGCCCGGGACACTCGCAGACACCAACCTCAACTAAAACGGACACACATAGACGGCGGCCGCAGCTCGGCACCGCTCGGCTCTCTGTCCCTTCCCAAACACGCGTAGACTCAGTCCCTTACCCCAAGCGCCCTCTTCTTTCCTCCGTTTCCCTCCCTAAGTGGCTGCAAGAGGGGGTAGGAAGGAGAAATTTATATTTTCTTGCGGTATTCCTCCCTAAACACGGTACGATGCTGGGCACACGGACAAGCGTGGCTGCAGCATCCCCTAACGCACCTGCAAGGGGGGGAGGGGGAATGTCCCCGGCAGCCCCCGGAGCGGGAGGTGGGAAAAGGTGGCTCCGGGGCTGAGGGGAGAATTGAAACCACTTTGTTCCCCTCCTCTGGAGCCCCAGCAGTTTCCGTCCGACTGGGAAAGTTTTATTCCTTGCCTCCATAAAGGAAAGACCAATTGGAGCCCTGGAAATCGCACAGCCCATAAATATGATAGATCCTGGCAAGATGAGCTCCCACCTAAAAACCTAACACTTACACACACATACAGAAAAAGAAAGGGGAAAAAAGAAAAAAAGAAGGGGGGGGGGGGGAAGGGAGGAGAGAAAAGCAATTAAAGAGGGGAAACGACCTGCACGAACATAAACTTTTCATTTAAAGTGTTCGTGGGTCTTCGTTTGGAAAACGGAGTCGAGTCTCGGTCTGTATTGACCGTGCCGGAAAAGGGTTGAGATATTTACATGAACAAAACTTTCCACCTACCACGTTTGGCGAAATAAGCACTAGAAATATTCCAGACTAGTAAAACACATTTCCAGAGCGCAATTCTTCTCAGAAACGTGGTCGCTTACTCGAGATTTGCCATAGTTAAGTGAACATTTCCCTCGCCTCATCAGCGGGTGGGTTTTGGAGTTGGAAGAAACCCCGCAAAGTCCATCAGCTCGGCTTTGGGACTGAGCAGATTTCCCCCTCCGGTTCCCTCTGCCTCCCCTCACCCCCCCAATCCCCCCAGGTGTGCCCTGCGTTGTATTTTTAATAGCACCAGAATTCGAAACGCAACTCCCTGCGCTGTGCCTCCCTCAGTCAGCAGCTTCGGGGTTCCGCAAGCGATCAGCAAAAACTTCACGCTAAATCGAGCAACAAGTTAATTCGGCAAAACTCGAACTACTTTGCTGCCTGACCTCCAAAAAGCCCGGATCGGCCAGGATTGCCGGGTCTCCGCACCTCAATTGTAAGAGTGCTACAGGGAGCAATTTTTTTCCATCCACCCCCCGGTCCCTTTCATTTAATAAATGCCTATTTTGTCCGAAGGGACGCCTCTGGAAAAGAGATGTAAGAAGCGATACTGTAGCGGAGCTAGGGAAAAGAAAGTAGAGTGTTTACCGTCTTGAGTATTCCTTTACTTCTAGTGGGAAATGATTAGGTATCTATTGATATAACCGTGGGGACCGAATGTCTAATTAGCATTTCCAAATTAAAATGTTAAACATAAAGACATACTCCTTATACAGCCTGCTATATGTAAAACTCATCCGGGCATAATCCAGCAGTCAGCTGGAAGCGCGAAGTTGACTGGCTTCCAGAGCCGCAGCCGCCTTGGCTAATGGGATCTGCCTGGGGTTTCTCAATCTTCCCCCCACTGTAGTTCATAGTTCTTAGGACCAGGGTGGTAGCTGCCCTGGCAATGTTACACTAACCAGCCTGGAGGAAAGAGCAAAACACACGGGTTACTTTTAAAGGCTGGCGATAATAACGGGACACACAATAGGCAGGCGGATCATCTCTCCGCACCTTTTATTCTGAAGGCTTCACTCGGAATCTTATTTGTTCTTTTGAGTATAACAGAGCACCTCGGGTTCTGTAAGAAATTAGGACAATAACACAGAACCGCCCTTGCAAAGCGGGAGAGCTGTTAAATCCGGAGTCCTTTGCTTCCCAGCCGCATAATTCTGGTATTTCCCGAGGTGTCATGCTCGGGGTTCACCTCTCACGGGCTGTAAGGAAAGTTGCCAAAAGAATGGAAGAATCTATCTGTTGACTTGAGCTCAACAGAGACACATTACGTATGATGGAAAGCTAATGCTCCCACCGATGTTAAAATCAGAGGGCTATATAGTTCCAATCCAGCTTCTTGAACATGTAGATTTTTATTTATAAGAATAATTGTGCATGTAGCGACGTAAAATTGGGATTTACAAGTTGGAGCCTTTTAAAGGAGCCTGTGAAAACCTTATCCCCGCTTTTATTAAACATGATATCATCCCGATTTGCGTGCTTGCCATCTCAATAGCGTTTCACACATGAAAAAAAAGGGGGGGGGGGGGGAGAAAGATCCATATGCATTACATAGATTTTTCTTTTAGGTGCATAAGGACTGGCAGTCTCTTAGTGGATAAGAGGGTGAATAATTGTGATACACCAGAAAACAGTTCGTGCAGTTTGGCAGGTCTGGTTTTTATTATTAGATTTTTTGACATTTGAACTTGGCTATTGTCTGAGGAGCTCAGTGCAGATTGCAGTAGGTCAACCTTAAGGCTGCTCTTTTTGGCATTGCACACAAACACGCACACGCTGTCTGTTCTCCTTGCGTGAATACAGCAGCTCCAGTTTTACCGGGCTTTTTCTTTTTTCTTTTTCTTTTTCTTTTTTTTTTTTTCAGGGCACATCTATTTATATTTATCTAATCCGCTTGGGCTTTTCACGGTCGTGTGGTTAGTTTGTAGGCGCGTTCATTTTACACCCGTTCCTCCCATCTCTGTATTTGTGCCTGATGCTGGATACTTCTAAGTACTCAGTCGCTTTTACAGCAGTATAATTCCAGCATCACGATGTTTGATAAAAGGGAATTACGGTAGCCCTGGGATTAAATGACATATTTCCCTGCCGCTTCGCTCAACTCCATCATGACTCCTACAGTCAAAAGTTAACATTATTCATCATCTCCTCGCATTTATTCCCTTTCCCTCTCGGAATTCAGTCCTGCCGCCCGACTTCTGAAATAATTTCTTGCCGCTCGCGAAGAGCTGGGGGTTATCGGAGGGGGGAGGGGGGAAAAAGGGGAGGGTAAAGGCGGGGACCCGGAATACCGGCGGGGCCCCGCCGCCACCCAGCGGCCTCCCCCCATACGCCGGCCTTTCCGCGGGCGCGGAGCTGGCCGCGGGCGCGCATCGGTGTCAGAAAACGCCCTCCCAGGCGGGGCGCAGGGGGAGAGGGAGCCACTGCCGGGCACGCAAAACGCGAAATAGGGATGGGTCCCCCCCCCGGGGTGGGAGGGGGGAGCGGGAAAACTGGATCAAGTCCGGCAGGAGAGTCAGTTTGCCCTGGGAAAACCCAGAGACTGAGTCCAAATGACTTTTCCCAGGAGTGATTTGCGACTCTATCTCCTCCTTCCCTCGTTTAGTTGCTGCTGTTTTAAACTGAGGCTCTTCCCTTAACTGCTCGTTTGCAGGGACTCAGGCCGAACAACAGCCTCTTCTTCTAGCAGTCTTTCATTTAAACATGTATCTATCTACATTTGTAACTATACGGATATATAGGTATACGTAAGCTCAGACGCACATACGCCTAGATTTGTTCCTCTCTCCCCTTCACCCCTCCTTCCTTCTTTATCAAGCGCCTGATAATGCGGTTAAGGCTTGTTATTTGAACTCTCAGATCAGCATGCAGAAATGTAATTGCAACGTTTTTCATCAGGAAAGAAAAGGAGGAGTAAGGGGGAGAAGCCCCCCCACCAAACACCCCGTGCTCGGTAATCGCTGAGTCACCGTATTGGGGGTCAGTGGGTAAACACGAAGGAGAGAGCAGCATGTTATTGAAACCCCCTGCGCAAACCGCATCCCTTCTCATCTCCAGCTTGGAGATCCCTCCCTCCCCTCCTTCTTCCCCTGGATTTATTAATCCGGACTTGGAATAAAGTGGCTCAAGTGCGGCCAGAGCCCTCTTTCTGGGGGTTGAGTGTCCTCCTAAGGCGCAGTGGACGCGCTTTGTTGCGGGGAGGGGAACAGGGAGGGAAAAATAGAGGGGAGAAAATCAATATTAAACTGCTATTTAAGCTGCTGGTGCTGGGAGTCATTTTAAGGGGGAGAGGGGAGGAGAAGGAAAAGGGGAAGCACCGGGCAGTTCACCTAGGGATGCAAAGAAAGGGAAAGCTTTCTCTGGGGCTGGGCTCTGATCTGGGCATGTTTATTCCTGTTTAAACGCTATTGTTCCTGCCAGCCTTTGACACAAACAGAAGGGGCGGGGGGTGGTGGTGGTTGTGGGGGTGTGTGTGTGTGGTGGTGGTGTCTGGAACAAAGCTGCTCAAACCCAAGCAACCCCCAAAGGCGGAGGAATACTTTCTTCCCTTTAAAAATGTATGTGGCATGACTTTCTGTTTGAGGTTGTTTTCTGGATGTCCTCCCTACACTCTTCCTGTGAGCTGAGCGGAGTGGCTGGCTGTAATTCACTTACCAGGGCCCATTTAGGGAGGAACATGTTCCCCCAGGTGGGTGCCAGGGAGCCTCGCATGGACAGCCGGCTTCTCGGGCCCCTGGGCTGCCGGTGGGTTGAAGGAGCAGACTTGGAATTGGTTTGCGTCAAGGCCTGCAGTGGGAAACAAAGAGGCAGAAATGTTGTGAGCCCAAGGAGAGCCTGAAATACAGAGAGGCATTGAGCTTCCCAGAGATGCTTCAGCTTCTCAGTGGGGGACAGAGCAGGATCCTTTTTGGGCTGGCTCTGTGCAGTTGAGGGCTGGACTGTACAGCCCACACTGAATCAGAGGCATTGTGTGCAAATGGATAAGCTCACATTGTTTTGAGATGCTCTTATTGTATTTAGGGTCGGGGAGAGGTGGGGGTTATATTTTGTGTGTGTGTGTGCGCGTGTGGATCTGTGTGCTTTCGAAAGGTGAGTGCAGATTGCAATAGTTGCTGCTCTGTTTTTGTTTGTCAAACAGGGCCCTTCTCTTGGGAGAGGGGCATGTGGCGGATCCCAGCCCAGGATTACATTAATCAAAGCATTATTTCCCCAGGGATGCACAGCACAAATGATAGTAAATCCTAATAAAATTGGATCGCTGAGAAATTGAACGCTTAAAGTAATCTGCTCTGCCTGATAAAAACTTCAAATTTATAAGATATTATTCATCCCCACCCCCAAACACCTTAGGTATCATCACTATGTGTGTGTATTATACAGCTATCTGTAGCAGAGAAATCACTGCTCAGTTTAACAGGCCCATCACTATTGAGTATATACATACACATAGATAGGTGTGTGTGTGCATGCACACTTGTATTGCATGCACACAAATGCAGAGCCATTAAATAAGCAACAACCTGCACGCACATAATAATAATGACCATAGTCAGTGTTTTAAGGACATTGCATTGTCCACCTTTGCTGTGGCAGGTGCTGCAGAAGGCTGGAATGAGGCTGTACATGGTTGTGTACCAGCACTATAGTCTTGCCTGGGGACTCTATTTTCTCTTGCTTTTTAGTGATGCTTACCATGGGCCTCTGTGTTGGCACCTGCGATCTCAGCCACACTACAGGCAGCTTTGCTTTTTAAAGCTGATACCATGGGCTGGTAGGGAAATAATAATAAAATAATACATGCGGATGAATATCTGAAGGTGTGGTTAGAAAGCTTCTGAGAGGACCAGCTTCAAAAAGAATCTGCCTTGGACCAGGTGGGTATAATTGAAATAAGGAAAGGTGTTCCCAGGCCAGTTATTCTGCCTTGGGCATGCATAGTGCTGCACCCACAGCCCCTCTGTGCAGGGCCAGGCCACCGCCTCCCATTGCTTCTTGGCAAGGGCCAGTGAAGGCTGAGGTAGCTGGTGGCCACTTGCTAGCTTCAGACCCCCAGTCTCAGCTACTTCCTCTCTGCAGAAGGAAAGTTTGTTTGTAATTGCAGCCGTAGGACATGACAGTGAGCTCAAAGAGACCCACTGTCCAGCAGGGAAAAAATAATGAATTGCTTCCTCCCTCTAAAAGACCGCTGCGTTTCCAAAAGTGAAAGGAGCAGAAGGCATTTCCACTCACCCAGATGAAACTCTTTGAAAGGCTGCGAGCTTCCCCCGCAGTTATAAATGCCGATCATTCTTCCTACCCCCGCCCTCCCGGCAGCCCATCCGGCCGTGGCACCCCGTTTCCCCCGCGGGACCCGGCCCCTCCGAGGACCTCCACTCGTGACCGTGACCAGTCCTGCCCAGCGACCCCGCACGCCTCTCCCTGCCCTTTTCTTTCCTGGCATCGCTAGGCAGACCGAAGGTGGCTTATCCCTTCTCCTGGAGTCCGGTTTTCCTGCCCTGTCCCGGCCCCGGGGGCTTGCAGAGAGGGCCCTGTCCTGCCCCTCCTGCCTGTGAGCAGGGAGAGGAGGGGAAGCTGAGCCCTTTCCCAGCCCCGAAATGACGCAGCCCCTGCTCCAGCATCGTCTCCCGTTTGGGCTGGCTCCATTTCAGGAGCGCCGTCTCCCCCCACCCCCTTCTTCCCAGCCTTCTTCCTTCCTCCTCCTCCTCGCCTCACCGTCACTCTCAAACACCCCCCCCCCGACCGCTTCCCCCCGCCGCCCCAAACTCCTTCCTCAGGACCGTGGGATTCTGGTGAGCTCTGGTGAGAGTTGTCGGTCTCCATTTCCAAGCGGGGAGCCACCGGGAGCGGTGAGGCAGGCGGGCCGGGGGGAGCAGCGGAGAAGGGGGGCTGGGGGGAGGCGATGAATGAAGGAGGGGTAGAGGGGGCGGCCCCTCACCTCCCCCCCCCCCCCCCCATTTGGAGCACCCCCGCTCCCGGGAAGGGGCAGCCCCCACGCCCCGCCCGCTCCTGCCCGCCGCCGACAGGGCGCAGCGGCGGCTCCGCGCTCCTCCGTGCCCTTCCTCCCCCCACAGCAGGCAGCGCTGCCCCGCGCCCCTCGACGGGGCTCCCGCCATTCCCCGCAAGACTCCCCTCGCCTTCCTCCACGCGTGTGCGGAGCGTGCGGGTGGGGACCCACTCACCCCGCCACTGACGGTGCCTCCTTTCCTCTACTCCCCTCTTACCCTAAAAAAGCCCGCACCCCACCCACCATCCCCCAAAAAACCCATTCATTTGCATACCGTTTGGCACCCTCGCTCGGTATATCCCCCTTCCTTTTTATCCCCCTTCCACTCCCTCTCAGACCGATTCCTCCCGCCTCCCCCCCCCTTCTACTCCTGCATCCCGGGTGCAACCGGATGACAAAAATCAAAGCTGGTTCCAATTTACCCCGGTTGTCTTCCTTTGAACCCCCGTGAGGTAGGTGTGGGGGAACACTGTGCTCCCACTCCCCGTGCGCTCAGTAAGGTGCCTTCCTCCCCTCCTCGCCCTAACCTTCCCTGCTTTCCTGTCCTTAATTGGCTCTGTCTTGATGTGCACTTGTTTTGTTTAGCCTATTTTACCATTGAGGACGAGATAGGCAGAAAAAGGAGCGTTTGACTTGGTATGTCTCTCTGATTTGTTTTTTCTTTTTTACCCTCTCCCCCCCTTCCGAGGTTAATTTGCATTTGAGGTCTAATTCATGTTTCAAAATCCTGGCGTTTGAGGACTATATAGGAACAGGGCATTCATTTCTGTTTCTGAGGAGGAGTCTCTCCTGTCTTTGCTCTTCTCTGTATAATTTCATTGTGTTCACAAGTGATAGGGATTTGCATCAGTTATTTTGCAAATTTTTTTTGTTTTTTTTTTAATTTATAGAAAAAAAAATATCTTATTTTGCAAATGCAAAGAGAGCAAACACCGGGCACTGAAAATGGAGCATATGTTATTAACAATGTTAGAAACTTAAAGGCACAGAGTATATATTCATATAGATGTGTTAATCTGCATTCCTTGGAATTGGATTTCTAGCTCCCAAGCATCTGTTTTTGATGACTATTAGAGAAAGTCGTTTATGGAAATACTGAGGTATATTTATAGTTCCTTACTGTTTACAGGTGATTTTGCTGCTGTTTGCTACTCTTGCTCCAGCGCTTTATAATTATTTCACTCCTGAAAGGCATTTCATACAGTTAAATGCTGCTTTACTCATTAAAGATTTCCAGGCTGTCCAGGTGTAAGTTCCATCCACATCTCTGGAATTAGTTATCTGGCCATGTGGACTTTATGGAAAGATTATAAAAGATACGTGGTCATATAAAAAAATTCTGGTTTACATCCACGGTTCTTTCAGTTCTTTGGATGTGATGAAGAGTCCGTCTATGTTTAGGCCTTTATAGGTCCGTTAAGGACTTCCTTCCCATCTTTTATTGGCATCTATAAAATGAATTTTATTTATATATATAATGATTACATGAATGGCATATGTTGCATAATATGCATATGAGGCATTTTGAGTATTTCTGCATGCACTCACGTTTATTTTTCACAAGCGCTTATGTGTGCGTGCATGCGTGTTTATACACGTGTACGGTGAAATACATGTTGGGAGGGAAAGCCACTCAAAATAAGAACGTTCCTAAAGGAAAAGCTGCTAAGTAGTTCACTGGGAGTTTGCATCTAGTGCCTTGCAAAAGTCCCGTAAGTTACAGGCTTTACTGTAAATATCTACATACACCCCCATCTCAGCATAAAAATATTTGTGCTTATATTTGTCTTTCGAGAACTAACGAAACAGGGCTATGAATTATACCTAAAAAGATGCTACAGAGATAAACATGTATAAAATAGTAATGGAATATGGAATTTTATATAATGCCAACAACTTTAGCAAGATTCTTGGCATAAGCAATTTAGTGCAATTTCATTTGTCTGAACCAGAATGATATTACAAAGTGAATTAATAGAACATTAGTACTGGAAAAAAAAAAAAAAAAGAAACACTTCTTCCTTTGAAATATGAAGTGCCACTAACTTGAGATGAAACCTGAAAGTCAGTGAATAATATATGGGAAATATTAATATTTTAAATGTATCATATTTAAAATTGCTGTGAACTTAAACAAGGTTTCATATCAAGAAAAACCATGTAATTCATTTTGGGCTCCAATTTCATATGCAACATTTTACAAATGAAGCAAGTCACTAAAGAAGTGAAGTCAGGAATGTAAGCATATTTTGTTATTTTGCACATGAAATACAGTCATTATGGAATATGAATTTAATTTGGGAAGTGATAAAAAAGAACATTTATTTTATTTTTCTGCTGCGCTGCAAGGAAAACATTTTTAAGCAGCTGATTAATGAGATGAAATGAATTGATACGGCCCATAATACCTGCATGGGCTTTTATACCTTGTGAAACCGCACCACAACGGGACCTTTATAAAAAGTATAAAGTGAAGTAATGCAATCATGTTTTAAATTTAGAATGGGAGTTGATGCGATTCAGCTTGATGTTGTAAAAAGTGAGCCCTCTGGCACTTGGCATTACATGATTTAAAAATTACTCCTGCAAGGAAGGTTAGTAGAAAGCATGTAGCAGGGTTGAAGCCCAGCACAAAAGCTCAGGGGCAAATTACAGTGCCACTGTGTGCCTTGCAGTTAGTTTTAGTGGGGAGAAAGCGTAGCCCTTGGTTCGCTCCTCAGTACACGGCCTGTTGACTCCAGCGTTTGACATTGCCCCGCTTCAACAAGCAGGTACAGCTCAGTCTCTGGAAGCCAAATCTTGTGCCCCTTAATATGAGTTAAATCCTGCTTGTGCTGTTCATTGAAGCCACCCGGAGATTTGCCTTCTTGGAATGAGCAGGATCTGACCCTCCGTACGTCCATGAGACCTTCATATCACCTGAGAGATTATTTTTGCATTTGTTTGTTGTGGATGGAGTTAGGTCTGAGGGCCACATTGACCTTGTCCTGGCGCCTAAGCCATCTAAAAGTTAGATCCTACCCAGCTTGGCTCTGGCCAACCAGGCCAGCCACAATGGCAGTTGCTACATATGGTACACAGGATACATATGACTGGGCATTTTGAACAGTTGGGCAAAAAAAAGGTGTCTTTGCACCATTGGGAAGTGCTGGGTGTGTATGAGCTTGTGAAAAGTGAAAAGAGCACTTGCACGTTCTAGGGAAGACTAAGGCTGTCATGAGGACTGTAAGCACTTAGGAGCTGTCTTACTGATGGACAGCACAAAGCCTGGTTAGTCCATAACCTGTTTCCCACTAGGATCTAGTCACAGGTGCCAGAAAAGAAGGCAGGTTGTTGGTGGTGGGGGGACACGCCTGACACCTGCCACACAGCAGATCTCTTTCTGGCCACTTTTGCCCAAAGCCCTGGGACATTTGCTATTATTCTCTCAATTATCTCAGACTAATTTCAGTAGTTCATGTTTTCATTACAAATGTCAGTGCCCTTCTGAAATTTGCTACAGATATTTTGGGTTCAGAATAACTGTGATGGGGAAGAAACCCCTCAACTTTTCCTCTTTAAACAGTTTCACCATTTTATCACAGTTTGTTTAAATATACATTTCTCTGCTGTGAAATAACCTTTCTTTCCACATTTATACCCATATGCACAGTGCTAGCTCATAGGAGAAACAACATTTTAAAACACTGTGTCATGCTTATAGGATAATTATTAACCTTGTCAGAATAAAAAGCATACTAAAAGTACTCCATACAAAGGTTTGTGCCTTAACATTTTTGAAAGTTTTTCTTTTTAAGTAATCAGAGATGTCACAACAGAGGGAGGAACTATACAATACATAAAACATAGTAAAAGTATATGAATCCTACAGGACTATTTAGAAATATACAACCATTATTTTGTTTCTCCTTTTGGTTAGCAAGTTACTTGATGAGAAGCTATGTTTCTGTTTTTATTCCTGCTTGTGTCTTAGAGTTCTATGAAGATGATGTGAAACTGCAAATTCCAAATTTTAGTTGCTATAGATAATATAAAAATAAGGAAAAGAAATGTTCCTGCCATGCGTCTGGACGGATAAATATACAAAGTCATGCAATCTGATAGCAGAAAGAATAGTTATTTGATGATAAACCTAATGCTAAATACAAACAGAATAATATTGTTCTAGTGAGAAATATAGCAAATAAAAAGGTATGACAAAAATACAGGTTTGAAACTCTCTGTTTAGATCTTTTCCAGTTGAATGTTCATTTTTGATGTTTTGTGACCACTGCAATACAATTAGCGAACAAGTTACCCAAAACTTAGCTGCCTCAATTTTCATGTCCCATATCTAGAAATCAAAAAATGTCACCTGTATTAACCCTATTTAACTTTAGGAAGGTGTTTTTGCTGGTCATTGAGTGGGTTTTCTTGAGACCTGATTCTTCATGCTCAAACTTGTGCTGAAATGGATGGGGTATGCGAGCAGGGTTTGTAGGGTCATGTATTTATTTTGTGCAGGAGGGCTGGCCTTGTCATACTGGGGGTTCATACAGGTGTAGGAAAGGGGTAGTTCAGGAAAGGGACTATTTTTCAAGGGCATTGGGTGTTTACGCCTTCATTTGACTTCAGTGAGAACTGTGAAAACTCAGTATTATATAAAAAATATGGCCACTTTTCTCTGGGAACTAAAATGTGGGCACAGGAATCTGACTTCTGGTACCTCTGGCTGAAAAAAAAGCAAAATGCTATCACTGGAAATTTCTGTTTTTATCTTTGTATAGGTTAAGCTTCAGCCCTATGAATATAAAACAAAAAGCTACCTTTCTCCGTGTGGTAACTCTTTGCCTTTTCCTTCAGAGAGGCAGGAGAAACGGTTGAAGCACTAGCACCCTGAAA